CAACGCCAGCAGCAAAAGCAAAGTCAGAAAAATAAGCAGAAAAAGCAGTAACAGCAAAAGCAGAGAAATAAGCTAAAAAGAGAAGCACAGCAGCAATAGAATTATCACGCAGCAGCAACATCAGTCATTGGCAGCAAAAACACCACAGTAACAGCAGCAATTTCTTGGCAAAGTGCAGCAGCAACAACCGAAATATCTTTCTAAAATGCAACAGCAACAGTGAGCTTTATAAACACACAACCAATAGAATAATCACAGCAGCAACATCTTCAGAAATTGCCAGAAACAACAGCATTATCTTTAGAAATTGCCAGCAACAACACAGCAGCAATATATGTGAAAAACATAGCTATAAATCCAGCAACATCATCATGACTTCGATGAGCAGGAAAAGCGACAACATCGGCAATACATGTGGAAAAGCCCGCAGCAACATCAGCAGCTACAGCAGCAACATCCATAATAACAGACTCAGCCAGAAGAATCACGAAAGCTTCTGGTAATTGCTCCCTGCCTTCCACGTCTCTTTCTTCTTTCTTTCTTCTCTGAATCTCAACGTCGACTTTCTCCGTTGTTCTTTGCACGTTCTGCCTGCTCCCATTTCATACTGATTGCAGGGAGGTTAGGAGGGAAAAGGGGGCTAAAAAGGGGGTGGAGAGGTCGCCGGCAACATTGTTGGCAGAGCAATTGTCGCTGCTGCTGCTTTTGGAACTTGTTTTTTTTTCTGTTCGTGTCTGTAGGTTCATGTTTTGTAGGTGCCACCTTTGTTGTTGTTGTCGTTGTTGCCTCTGCTCTTGTTGTTGTTGCTGCTGGCTTCGTCAGGTGCGTTGACAAGTGGAAATGCTTGCCCGTGCATTGCTCTCATTGCAGCGACAAATATTTATACTGCCTTCCACCTTCCCGAAAACCCCACCCCATCTCCAGCCCCTCATCGTCATGCTGTTCGTACACCGAAACCGAAATTATAGTACTTATTGCAGCTATGTGATTATTTACAATGCTATCTTGTGTTAATTCATATAGATTAAAATGTAATTATATTTTAGAAATATACTCTTTAGTTCTGTTTCTGAGAAAAGCAGAAGTTTTAGATGACGAACATATAAAAAAATTGTTTAGTCAAAACAATATTATTTTTGTTATCAATGAGTATTTTTTCACATTTTTATATTACAATATTTTTTTTTTTTTAATTTTTTTTTTTTTTAGATATTTTAGGGATGTCAAAATATGCTAAAGTCTAATGCCTATTTTTTTTAGCACTTAAAACTTTTGTTCGAACTTTACTTTATTTCTTAAGTAAATTTTAATTTAATTTTGTTTCAGTGTAAGCTCCTCCCGGGTCTTGTCCTCGTTTTTCTTGTCCGTCTCACCGCTTTTTTGCCCCCTTCCCTTGTTTATTGTTTGCGTCGATTAATCAGCGCATTTAATATGCGGCAAACGCACTGCAGGCCACAACAAAAACAACAAAAGCACTGGAGGAGCTATAGCTACAGACCCCGGGCACAAAGCTATATACCTATAAAAGCCGGAGTTCAGACAAGTTGGGTCCAAGCCAACTAACCTGTTGCTTTCACAGCGTTTTCTCCCTCGCACCTCTGCTTTGTTTTTTCTTTTTTATTTTTTAGCCCGTTTGCCTTCCCTCTTTATTTATTTATTTTTTTTTCATTTAGCTCCTTTCCGCTTCCGTTTTGTAAATAATTTAATTTGAATTTCTCGCTGGTATATAATTATGCTCGTTTTTCGCTTTGTTTAACTTCCGCTGCAAGGTTTTTGGCTGCATTTTCACAAAAGCACACAAAAACTAAAGTGGTGAATTTGCATTTTCGTTTTGAAATCATAAAAGGGGCTAAAAACCAGCGGGGCATATAAATTATGTGGTGGAAACTTGCGTTGTAAGCTAAAAAGTTCTTAAAACTTTCTCCAAAGTTAAGCTAAAAAAGATTATTTATTGTTTACTTAATTGTCAAACGTAAGTGGGATGTTTGATATCTCGTAATCTTATGTCGTAATCGAAAATTTAGCAATTACAGCACGTGGGCTTCATGGATTAGCTTATAATCGTTGTAGTTGTGCAATATGATTACTACAATTACGGCAAACATCTATGAAAACGAACCCTTTGTGTTGTCAAGTCGAGCAATCCGAGAACCCAACCCCATTTTTCCCCATCCAGTCACACAGTCCCGAGCATTTATCAGTTTTCTGCTTAAAAACCGCAATCAGTAACTGGGGAACCTCTTGGAACACGATTTCCTTTGGGCACCAATGGGTTAATATTCCACGTTTCCGGGAATTAAAAAAAAAACATTGGGGGAAAAACTTTTAAAGTAATCCCCAGAGTTTATAAAAAATTCTAGAGGAAACCAGATAATATTAGAAAATTATTTTGCAGGAGAAACAAGTTTTTTTTACCTATTAACCCAGAAATATTTTTTTCAAGGCGATTTTTAAATACCTTTAAATTTTCAATTAAACCTTTGAGACAGTAGAATCCATTGTGTAAGAACTTTGAATACCCATTCGAATCAATGATATCAGCAAACTCAAAGGCCCAACTTTTTTGTTTGAATAAGACTGGCAAAGTGAATCCAATTCGATTTTGGACCTCTGAGAGTTGATCGGTTGCATCGGGCAAACGCCCCCGCAAATCATTCGATACGACGCCCCCTTTTGGGTTCACGTACCCCCTCCTCCTCCCTACTAACCACCCCCATTTACAGTTGGCTGAATCTTTTATGCAACAGACACAGAAATTGCAAAAACGCAGAGATTCAAGGGGGAAAAAGGGAAACTAAAACGCAAATACGACAAATAGAAACCGCAGGCAGCGCAGATTCGTTTTGTTTGCTAAAACTGCGTCACGTTGCAACTTTGCCTCCGATGTGGCGGCTGCATCTCCTCCATCTCCGCATCTCTGATTTTCAGCTACTGCTGCTGCTGAGATTTGCGTAAACAAAATCGGTTTTATTATATGTTTTTTCTTTGCTTTTTCTGGCTCTGCAACTGCAGCGTTGTGTAACCCGAGGGACAAATGATGTCAAAGCACTGACAAACTTTTGTGCTGGATGTGCACTTGGAAAAGAAAATTGGGGGAAGTATTAATTACTTTATCGAAAAACTTTTATTTTATATATATAATTTTTAGGAACAATTGTTCTTGAAATCAAGAGAAAATGTATCTCAATTTCATTTTTTTTGAGACTACATAATTCTCTATTTCGTTTATTTAGAATAATCAACATCTTGAAATCGGTCCCAAAATACATTTGGTTAAATAAGCTTTTTTTTCCAGTGTTTTCACATAACTTGTTGCTGGTGGCAGGATGATGATGCAGCTAGTGCTGTTGCCACGTGAGCGTTGTGCAAGAAGTCCTTGTCAGGAGCAGAAATTTCTAACCGAGAGAGGAGTGGGGAGCAATCGAATTGGTTGTGGGTGGGCTGAGTCAGCTGAGAAGGCTAAGGAGGCTAAGAAGGCGAAGGAGGAGGAGTAGTCACTTGGAAACTGGGCAACCTTCGATTTGACCTTCGCTGCCTCCGCCGCCGCTGACTTTTTGCCTTCGCGGTGACCTCCATTGGCTGCTTGCCTTTCCATTTCAATTTCGGTTTTTAACTTGGAGTTCAACTTTTTTCCATTTGCTCCATTTTGCATAATTTATTGCATTTAGTTTTCATTTCATTTACTACTGGCCCCAAGTTTGTGCCATAAATTTTTCCCACCGCACGTCTCCGTTTTCATCGCGTGTGTCCTTAATTTTAGCTTTGATTGCCTTTCGCTCCTCGCCAATGTCCAGCTATTCTTCTGCTTCTTCTTCTTCTCCCAGGCTGACCACGCCTTCTTGTGGGAGGAAAGGAGGCGGAGGAAACCCAGGAAACATATAATTGACCAAGGGTGCGTGGTTGCCTTTCGCTATTTTTATGCCCTTTGCCACATCCCATTCATATCAAATGTCCTTTGACGTAAATTAATTAAGTTATGTGAATACGTGGAGAGAAGTAGCAACCAAAGGTTGTGTTGTGGGAGGTTGTTATAGAGCTCGGGGCTACTTAACTGCTTCTATTTTTAGTTGCCTAACTACGGGGAAGTCAAACGAAGTGGATGGATGGATGGATGGGTCCTAAATTGGTTGGGAGGAAACTCGACATGTGTTTGGTATAATGATGTTATGACATTGTTTCGATTTTAAAGAAAAAGCTACTAGGGATTTTATATGTAGCAATTATCCTATACATTTCATGATTATTTGAGAGCATTCATAGCATAAACAAAGTATTTGTCTTCTTTCGTTTATAACTTGGTTAAAAAAATCCTAAAATTATTTGGAGTATGAGGATCTAAAGATATAGTGTTGAATTTGTCAACTGTTTTAACTGCTTATCAATCCATGAATCTGTTCGGATGTAAAATATGTTGAAAAATGCAAATAAAGCATAATTTTTCTAGACTTTAAATTTTAAAAATCTATTAATGGAATTCTTTGCCTCGAGTAGATAAATTTTGGCCATACACCTTCCTCATTGTCTGGTCGATGTCTCCACTTCCCTGACGTCGTCGCCTATATCTCCGCCACCACTCCCTGTCCTGTCCACCCATTCACTTAGTCATCTTCATTATTGTTGGCCAATTCCCATAATGTTTTCCCCCTTTTTTCGGCCGCTTTGTTGGGGGCGTTGACAAGTCACAAATGCCGTGTTGAGTGCACAGAGATACAGATTCTATAGGCTGTATATGTGCCATATATGAGTGGGTCTCTATGGCGGAATGAAAAGGTGGAACTGCGTTCAGTTGCATTTCAACGACAAGATTGCGCGGTAGCGAAATTGCCTTAAAAACAGGAAATTTTTGCGCGACAAAGAAGCGGAAGAAAATCGAAAAGAAAACAATGATCTCCTTGGTCATAAGAAGATTACTTAAAAGAGGTAGTAAATAGGCTTAAACTGTAAGAAAGCAAATAGACCATTAACTAATTTGTATGTTATTTTTCTCTGAATCTTTTTAGATTGTGATTGCGGCTGCGTGGACTCATACAATTCCAGCCACGGCCCGCCAGTGCAGCAGGAGTCGTCAGCAGCAGCAGGAGGATCTGGAGGATCGGGAGGAGCAGGAGGAGCGGGATCGGGATCAGTTGGAAGCAACAGCCTCAAGACGGCGCACACAAAGGTCGCCACCTCGGGGGGTCATGCCAATACGCAGCCCCCCAGCAAAAGGTCGAGCAGCGGAGCGGATGGCGACTACCAGCTGGTGCAGCACGAGGTGCTCTATTCCCTGTCAGCGGAGTATGAGGTGGGTCTATCTACATAGCTTATATCAGATCAGATATTAACTATTTCCCCTTTAGGTGCTGGAGTTCCTGGGCCGCGGCACCTTTGGCCAGGTGGTCAAGTGCTGGAAGCGCGGAACCTCCGAGATCGTGGCCATCAAGATCCTGAAAAACCATCCCTCGTACGCCCGGCAAGGCCAGATCGAGGTCTCCATTCTCTCGCGTCTCAGCCAGGAGAATGCCGACGAGTTCAACTTTGTGCGGGCCTTCGAGTGCTTTCAGCACAAGAACCACACCTGCCTGGTCTTTGAGATGCTGGAGCAGAACCTCTACGATTTCCTCAAGCAGAACAAGTTCTCGCCGCTGCCCCTCAAGTACATAAGGCCCATTCTGGAGCAGGTGAGTTCTACAGGTTGTAAATAGGGTTCTTGATAAAATATGAAAATATCGATATTTTTTGTAAACAAATAATTTTTTTAACTATCGAAAATATGATTTTATTCTTTGATATTTGAGGATATTTTTCCGTTGTTACTTTTCTATAGGGTATATATAGAGTTCTTGATAATATATCAAAATATCGATATTTTTTGTATAAAAATAAGTCGCTTAAATATCGAAAATATGATTTTTTTTCGTTGATATTTGATATTTTATTCTAAAGAAACGAAAACCACGTTTAATTACGTATCCTTTAATATCTTTTAAGCAAAAGGTATCAAAAATATCGAAGTAATCGATATATTACAGTGAATATCATCGATTTATCTAACTATAGTATTAAAACCCCGACTAATTCTTTGCTTCTCCTATTCCACCAGGTATTGACTGCCCTGTTGAAGCTGAAGCAACTGGGTCTGATCCATGCCGACCTGAAGCCCGAGAACATAATGCTGGTGGACCCAGTGCGTCAGCCGTACCGCGTCAAGGTGATCGACTTTGGCAGCGCCTCGCACGTGAGCAAAACTGTGTGCAACACGTACCTGCAGTCGCGGTACTATCGTGCCCCTGAGATCATCCTTGGCCTGCCCTTCTGCGAGGCCATCGACATGTGGTCCCTGGGCTGCGTGGTGGCGGAGCTCTTCTTGGGATGGCCCTTGTATCCGGGAAGCTCGGAGTTCGATCAGATTCGCTACATCTCGCAGACGCAGGGACTGCCCACGGAGCACATGCTGAACAGCGCCTCGAAGACCTCCAAGTTCTTCTACCGCGACGTGGACTCCACGTATCCCTTTTGGCGGCTGAAGACCACCGAGGAGCACGAGGCGGAGACGAATACGAAGAGCAAGGAGGCGCGCAAGTACATCTTTAATTGCCTCGATGACATTGGGCAGGTGAATGTGCCCACGGATCTGGAGGGAGGTCAGTTGCTGGCGGAGAAGACGGACAGGCGGGAGTTTATAGATCTGCTCAAGCGCATGCTGACCATCGATCAGGAGCGACGACTCACGCCTGCAGAGGCATTGAATCATTCGTTTACGCGTTTGACCCACCTGGTGGATTATGTGTACTGCAATAATGTGAAGGCCTCCGTGCAGATGATGGAGGTGTGTCGCCGAGGGGATTTCCATACGTAAGTAGAGGGGATATGCAGAAGATCCTAACTTAGGATTTCTTAAAACCCGCGAATTCTTAGGAACAAGAAGATATATTTGTGTGGATCATACATAACTTAACTAAAGAAACCTAATGATATATTCTATATCGATTTTTCAAAAAACCGCGAATTCTTTAGAGCAAGAGAGTATGTTTTTGTGGATCATACATCTGCAATAGTTGAAGACCACAAGAATTCGCATGGGCGGAAGAAGTGGAAACAAATGTCGATATATCGTATCCTTTAATTTTAAATATTATACACAAATAACCATCTTGACCTTAAGAATTCGCGACGGGTCAATGAGCTGTGAAAATTGTGATCATCGTCTTATTTAAAAATATTTTTTTTCTTTGGGTAACCTTAAACCTAAGCTTATATTAACCTATTCTTTAATCCCCTGCAGAGTTCAACCCGCCTCCACGCTGGTGACCAACTTCGTGCCCTCGAGCACCGAGAACATGACGTTCACGATCAACAACCAGCTGACCAGCCAGGTGCAGCGTCTGGTGCGCGACGGTCGCCCGCTGGCCTACGAGGGCCTCTACCAGATCTACAACGGACGCAGTGTGGCCAGGCAGTATCCGCAGGCGCGCACGGATAGCTTCCAGCACCAGCTGGTCTCGAACATCCTGTGCCCGCCCTCCTACCAAACGATGCCCAGTCCCACCAAGCATGTGGTGGTGGGCAGTGCCACCATGCAGCCACCGCTCCAAGTGCCACCGCAGCAGTACGTCAATGTACCGGTGCCCGTTTCCATGGTGGAGCCCACCTCCGGGCAGCGGATGCTTCTCACGAATCGGGTGCAGGCCAGCGGAGTGGCCTGGCCGCAGACTGGGAGACAAATGGCCCTGGTGCCCTCGTGGCCACAGCAGGCGCCTGCCCACTCGCTCATCGTCGACTCGACGCCGCTCTTCAACGTGGAGGAGATCTACCCCAAGCACCACCTCAACTTGCCACGCAACGATCTCAAGAAGGAGTCGCCGGCTCATCATATAGCGTATGTATCTAGTGGGTAATCCCTGGGAGAACCCTTTCTTACTTATTTTTCCTATATTTTTAGCAAGGGCAACTCTTATCGCGTGCCGCGCCACGAGAAGAAGGAGCACCAGCAGCTGTCGCCGGTGAAGAAGCGGGTGAAGGAGAGCTCGCCGCCCCACCAGCAGCGGTATCAGCGCACCGCTCACGTGTCGCCGCAGTACCACGCGCACCACAACTGCAACTACGGACAGGGCGGTGGCTACAGCGCCAGTGCGGGATCGGTGGTGGCCTCCTCGGCTGCCTCCGCTAGCAGTGAGTGCAGAGGGAACATGAGATTGATCTATGCTTATGGAAATTAGAGCCCTGCATGAATGGATTCAATGAATTATTTGGAATTTTTTTTTTTAATATGAATTAATTCGAATTTTGAGTTTAATTGAATTGAATTCCGAAATAATTCAAACGACAATTTCTTTAGAAGAAGAAAGGGCCATATTTTGTGATTAAATCTGCTTGAATTTTATTTACTATGCAGTTAACATTGATTTGTTTAAAAATTTCCACTTGTTGTTCTCAAAAAAAAAAAAAAAAAAAATATGGCAAATTCCTAAAATTCAAAAAAATTATTCATTAGAAAAACATTCAATTTATTTCACAAAGAATTGAATTAAACAAATCAGAAATAAAACAAAAATTGAATGATTCAAGCAGGGCTCTAATGTTTATTGAAATATAACCAGAGTGGATACTAATTTCTCTTCCTTTTTCCCTAGACATTGTGAACGGAAGCTCATCCAGCTCGTCGCACCATCACCATGTGCCCGTCGCCCATGCGCAGCCCTACAGCTCCTCCTCGGGTCACCACATTGTGAGCAACTGCAACGCAAATGGAGGAGGCAGTGGTGGGGCGGTGGTCTATCAGCAGCCACCGGCCCATGCCCACCAGCATCAGCAGGTGCATCCCGGCCAGAATCCGCAGCATTCGCAGCACGTGAAGCAGCCGACGATCACCATCCACGACACGCCCTCGCCCACGGCTGTGATTACGATCTCCGACAGCGAGGACGAGGGCGGTGAGGCTGGAGGCGGCGTAGGAGGAGCCCAGGTGCCGGTGGTGAAGCAGCGGGCGCATGCCCAGTCGCAGACGAGCAGCAGCCTGCTGCAGCATGCACCCAGCTCCTCCTGCTCCAGGAACAGTGCCCACCAGCAGCCGCATCCTCAGCAGCAACAGCAGCAGATTAATTATGGTAATGCCCAGAATCAGAATCAGAATCCAAATCAACTGGGAAGCAACGGCGGCAAGGGTAGCCAGCATAGCAGTAGCCATAGCAGTAACAGTAGCCACAGTAGCAGTAGTCACCACCACCACAACCACCAACACCCTCATCATCTGAATCCGTCTCATCATCTGAATCCGCCTCATCAGCCAGCAGCGAGTGGAAGTGGATTAGGAACGGGATCGCAATCGCAGCTTCAGCAACAGCTACAGCTTCAGTCGCAGCCAGCGCCTCCTTCGAATCAGGCGACGCATCCTCATTACCAAGCCACGACCACCTCGTCCTCCTCTGCTTCCACTTCCACTTCCAGTCACCTGTCTCATCAGCAACCCCATCATCCCACCCCCTCCTCCGCTCAGTTTGGTGCCCCTGCTATCCTCTCCCAATCTCAGTCGCATCTCAGTCGCCATAAGCCATCGCACGTCCAGCTAGTAATTCCATGCGTAACCGTAGGTGACCACCACGATCCGGAGGATGCCCGTCGTCGTCATCATGCCGCCGCCGCAGCCGCCGTGGGAAGTCCCAAGCATCATCATCATCAGCAGCAGTCTGCTCCTCCGCCGCAGCAACAGCAGCAGCCGCAACAGCAGCAGTACCAACCACCTCCGCAGCAGGTGCTCCCACCACAGCCGCAGCCGAGCATCAAGTATGAGCCTGGCCAGTCGCAAAAGAAGCGCATTTTAGCCATGGCTCAGAGCGAGTGTGGCTACCAGCCGCAGGTTCCCAGCCAGCCGTCGTCCTCGGCCAGCTTGCCGCACATTCCCACCAAGCAGGAGCCGGCCGAGTTCTATCCGGAGTACGCAGCTGCTCCGCCCCAGCAGTTGGACACGAAGCGCTCCTCCTGGGCACCCACATCCTCGGGAGGAGGAGTAGCCGCCGCCTTGCCCTCTGGCCCAGCCAAAGCGCGAGGCTCCCTCGGTGGCGCCCATCAGCTATGTGGCTCCTCCCTTGGCCCACTCAAAGAGCAGCTCCACCTCCTCTTCCTCGTCGACCAGTGCGGCGGCAGCAGCAGCGGCTGCAGCAGCTGCAGCGGCGGCGGCCAGCGTGGGTCCTCCGTCGTGGGGACCGCCGCAGGTCTATCGTCAGCCCTCCCAACCGCCGCCGGGCAGTGTGGGTCTGCCGGGAGCCTCACAGCCGCCGCCGTCGTCGGTGGCGCCGCATCCACACCACCACAGTCATGGGCATCATCATCACCAGGCCGGAACACCGCTGGGCGGATCGCCATCCTCGACGGCAGCGGCTGCCTTGTTGCAGCCGGATATTTATGCGCAGGGCGACATTTACCGCAGGCCCACGGTGTTTGTGTCGCAGGCGGCGCCCAGCTATGCGTACGCCAATCGGGCTGTGGTGGCCCCTCCACCCGCACACAACAGCTCCAGTCGACAGGTGGGTTTGTAAAAAACTTGTGTTATTAACGTGTTAAATGTCCAAGTGTTAAGTTCAAAAAAAGTTATTGACATGTGTGTTATTTATGTTAAAAACATAAATGTGTGTTTACACAGTTTATATGTGTTATTTACACGACGTGGTTTTTACACAGCGTGTTTTTAGCACAATGAGGTTTTGACATTAAAATGTCAGAAATATATGTTTTGAAATGGTCAAAAATAACAATTAAGATATCCTGGCCCAATATTGATTATTCATTTTGCCTTCGATTCGTCAATGTCCATAAAATGTAATTTTCATTTGTGTTAGAAACACAGTGTGTAAAAAACACGTCGTGTTAATAACACATTGTGTAAAAAACACAAGTGAGCTGTGTGTGCAAACATTTTTTTTTTACATTTCAACACTTTTGTTTTTGACACACATGTCAAAAACTTTGCTCACACTGTAAATTACAATTTTACATGTTTTTAACATGTGTGTTAAATTCCGAACCCTTACTAAACCCATGTATTATTTCCCCCACAGGTGATACCTTCACACCCGCTGCCGGCTCACATCCAGATACCCACCCAGTACAGCCAGTTTGGACCCCTCAGTCCTGCCCAGGTAGCCGCCAGCAAACACGCGGCGCACTTTGCGCCCACCAACATATGGTATGGGGCCGAGTAGGCCGACGAAGAAGGGAGTTGGCGGGGAAAGGGGCAATGAGGAGCAGGGAGAGACGCGGGACGAGGAACAAGCAACCAAACCACACACCGCACACCATCACCAACCAAAACAATCTTGAGCTAGAGCCCGAGATCGAATGATTCAACGCTCGAGTGAGTCGAAAATGCCGGGATGCCGAGCCGAAAATTCAGACTTCTCTGTCAAATCAAAGAAACTTAAGCTAATGATGTGATATTCTTGTTTCTTTCCTTTAGATCGTTTGTGGCCTCGGGCGAGGCAGTTGACCATCCGGTGGAGCAGAGCCAAGAGTTGCAGCAACTACAGCTAACCCAATGCTGGTGGTTCATGCTGCTCATGCAGCAGACCATCATACACAACAACTCCATGTTGCAGGCGGGCAGCGATGACACAACAGCAGCAGAAGCAACATCTGCAGCAGCAACATCCACAGACACCACAGCAACACGTAAAGCACGCCGACAACATTAGGCCAAGTCCTAAGCTAAATCCAATTTCAAGTCCCATCTCCCCCAAAAAACCCTCGTCGCCTCAGTTCTCAATTAGTTTTTTTTCGAGACTCCGCGCAGGATCTCCCTTCTGCTACTATTAATTTTTATTATTTTTTTAAATAATATTAAAAATAAATGTACAGCACTCCTACACGCAGCTGGGTGTACACAGTGCTCAGGCTAACTTTTTGCAAGTTGTGTGGTACTTGGCACAACCCCACACACACACACTTTATACAGCTTTAGCTTCAAAATCCTCGAAATATGTATGCCAACTAGAGGCATACCGAGAGATATTTTTCTTCACGAAACGAAAGCTATAACGTTTTAAATTAACCTTTGTGTGTTGTGTGTTTTATTGATAACTTCCACATAATATTCTCTATATAAACCACTTATATATTATATACATGCATATGTAACACTATTATTATGAATACTATATATCAACCAGAACATGCAACATTAGGCCAGCGAGCCAGTAAGAGAAAGCTTCGAAATTCCCTAGCAAGTACCTCAGAGAATCGAAAACGAAACAAAAAACTTAACAGCAACAGCAGCAGCAACAACCAGAAAATAACAACCAACAAATAAACAACATTGTTATGCAATTTGCCTTTTACACAAACAAGCAACAAAACAAATTGAGATGACGATGGACGATCGATGATATAGATTATGATTATGATTACGATGCAGATGCAGAGGCAGGAGTAGAGTTAGACGAGGTTAGTAGAGAACCACAACAAATTGAATACCGCAAAAACCTTACTAGCAAACAGAAAGCAAATAAAATAGATAACCCTAGGAGATATCAACAAAGAGAACCTAACAATTACATAGCTCATAGATATAGTGGATAGATCGGATCGTATGGCGAACGTTTTTTACACACTCGTAACTCACTCATAGGAATAGCCGCGAAAAGAATTACAAATACGATTAACAATTAACAGATAACGATTCTAAATTATGTTTAACGAGCAACAACAAATAATTATAGGAACAAGTGTACATAATACGCATACATATATATATTAAATATATCGATACTACAAATAGCCGGAGCCCAACTGAAACCGAAAAACGATTTTAACTCTGAAATCAGGCCAGCGAAGCCAGTTAATTTTTAGACTTCACACTTCTTTTTAGCCCATCCCAAGATCTGCGTTTTAGTTATTCTTTCGACTAGAGGAAAGCGCATGAGAAAGTTTACTAAAGTACAAAACCAAACAAAAAATAAGAAGCAATCTAGCAGTTTAGGCTTTTAGAGTTTGCCCCTCCTTCCTAACAAAACAACCCCTCGTTTTAGGCTTTTTCCCTTTTCCCCCGGAGATGAGAAAACTGTAATATATAGAATGCAATTTTGATATGTACAAACCTGGCTTACTTTAACACGCCCACTATAAATCCTATATATAAAATATAAACTAAATCTTGTTAAATAGGTTTCCTAAAGTATTTCGTAGCTAGAATTAAACTTAACTTGTCGCGTATAAAATAACCGAAGCAGCAACTAATCTTTCGCTCTCTTCGGGTCGATTTCTTAGTTATTTCTAAAAGGGGAATATAGGGAATTGGCCCTTTGAGGGTGGCACTTCCTATATAAAGAAAAATACATACTGATAACCATCCTGTCGGCCCCTTCCTAGTTCAGCTGTGTACAGTTAGCGATCAACAAGATCGGATGGATAGGAAAGGAAAGGATATATCTAGCATATAATTATTGTGATGTAGTTTTTAACAAGCGAGAAGCAGAGCGTTTTTGTCAGTCGTCTTTGACTTTCCCAGTCGAAGGCGAATAGAAATTACCTAAAATTATGATTAACCAATTGCGATACGGATACGGAATATGCATCTATATGTTAACTAATTAGTGTGCAGGATTCGATAGCGTTAGCACGACAACAAATCGTTTTTTTAACCAAGTAAATAACTTTTTAACAACCGAGAAAAATAACACTTTTTGTAGTAGGAAAAGGGATGAAGCAAGTAGCATGCGTAGGCGTAATTAAGAAACGTTAGTGTTGTGAATATATACGAGTAAATTCAAACAAAACATATATAGAGAACTAGATCTAGACACGTGGTTCGAGTACATTTATATTATGGATATATTTTGTGTATAAACAATAACGGCAACCAGCAGCTAACAATTGTAATTGTAATAAACAATAAACGAAAAAAAAAACAGCTCGACAGATTTAAGATACTTGTTTAAAGTCGAGAGAAACTTATCTAGATAATAGACATAGATGTATTCAACAAGTTCTTTTTTTATAGAAATTTTATGGACCATTCAACTAAAGTATATATAGTCAAATAAGCATGGATATTGATATAAAATATAAAATAAAAAACAAAAAACAGCTGTGTGACCGTTTAGCATGTCAGCGGAAGTTGCGATCTGTGTTTCCGATTTGTGTTTCTTGTCCTGCACCCACTCAGTGTGCAACTTACATTATAAACGTATATGCTAAATATCTGCGACGGGCAGACGAACTTTTCTTCACTTTCTACTCAATGTTTAGGAGCATCAAAAAGAAAGCAAAAACGAAAAAAAACAAATAAACTACAAGAAAACAAATCAAGAACGCTTTAAATGTAACAAAAACGAAACGTTAATAGACTTATGAAAACAACAAACAAACAAATTAAATTTATATTAAACGACAAATTAAATTTATATTAACAAATACAAAAACAAACAACAAATTACATTTATATTTAAAGAGAAAAACCAACAAACAAATTAAACTTATATTAAACAAACTCACACACTCAATAAGCAGGCAGCTTGGCCTCGGTCGTTCGCAGACTTTTGTGGCCCACTGTCGGAGGATTTGTATTTAAGAGGGATTCTGAGCGGAGAGATCCACACAAACACTCTAATATACGTATATATTTAAATGAGAAATGTTTTAACTGTGTAGCCTTAATATTTGTACTCGTCGTCCTCTCGATTTCCGACAAAAATATGATGATATACGATACTATAGAGCGTTAAATGCTAATCGGTGTTTACTACAATATTTCATATGTACTTGTTTAATCATACTGAGGATGAGTTGCCTTTACTTTACTATTTTAACCATTTAAATTTACTTTTAATTTACCTTGTTTCTTTGCTTAACTTTGTTTAATAACGGAAGAACATAGCCACAACAACATATATACCATATATATTGCTTACTATTACCAGAATTATATATGCTTACATTTACTTATGTCCTACAAAATACAGAAATCGTAAATATATACATAAACAGATATCGTACTTTTTCGTTTTTCTTTAGTTTCTTAATTTTATTACTTTTTTCTTAGTGCTTTTAAGAACAAATTAATCAAAAACAAAGCGGAGATGATGATGATGAACAACAACAAATACAACATATATCCCACCAAATTACAAAGGAGTAAATAATTTTTAAGTTTAAACGATTAGTGAATGAACTAAATAATAATCGTAGTTATTGTGCAATAATATCGATAATCGATAACGATTAGCCAGTCAAAGCAATTGTGCAAACAATTTAATTTTAGGGTTTACGTCAAGGGGAGCGCCTAGAGGTTCCCCTTAAAAGAGGCTAGCTTCAGCTGATTTAGATTTAGTTCAAGACCAACCAGGTTTCTGCAGATCAAATAGATTTATTTCGCACGCCCCGCCCCGCCACACCCCTCGAACTTTGAACATTGAAACACCACCCCCCACGAAGTTGTTTGATTGACCAACAATTGATGAGCTTTTACCGGAAAGTAAAGATATTTTTGTTTGCATTTACGAAAAACACAGCAAGCGGAAACCGAAGCCGAACCGGAACCGGAAATTTCAAACCAATCTGCATTGATCAGATTAAAAGGTAGAGGGGAGAATAGAGAAGTTGACAAACAAGATTGATAAGAACCCGTCCATAATTAGATTTCTTTCGTTTGAGCTGGACCTGAACAACTGAAACACGCACTTCGGACAGCTGGAGCGAGTTCCAAAAAAACAAATTAGCAGGGGCCCTCTCTAACTTAATGATAGCATAATGATACGGATGATGCGGATAATACCGATACTTAGTAGGCTACCAGTAACTTAATTACGATATTGATATACTCTTCGTGTTTCCTTCACTTGAAGAACTTTCTAAAACTCTCTTAAACAAATTGTGGTTCGGATCGACATTAGATGTTTTTAATACACACACGATTACCACAGATTAATCTATGAACATATATATATGCGGATATATTTTATTAACTAAGAAATTATTTCCTATGCCAGAGGAGAGATCTTAACGATAACCGAAAATGTTGATGTATGAAATTTATAAGACTAGCATATTTCCTACCTAAAGAAAAAACCAAAAACCAAACAACAGACAACAATATACGTTATATATATACACGAAATATGATAAAAAGCAGCTAGAGCTGAGATCATACTCATAGACATTATACACGCTAAGACATATACAGCTAACGGTAAAGATATTGAATTTAAAATGATCGTACCTTTTTGCTGATTTCGAAACAAGCGAGAAATTGAGGAGTAAAACGCCAGAGCGAAACGGAGTCATTGGGTGATGTGAAAACGTAATCGAAACAATATATGTTTTAATAGATCAGAGAGCACTTTTATGGGATTTGCTTTTTATATATGTCATATACGAAACATAGATGTACTTATAGCGGAGGCAGTGGCAGTCCGCACTTGGGGCGAATGCGCGTTTCAGATTAAAGAATTTAAATATTTTTATATACGAACTCGAGTAGAGACTACGGTATCCATATACAGATATGATTAGCGAAAACAAGCGAGTAGAGGCCAGGCTTTGCATTCGATTACAAAGTGAAGTAAGAGGGAAGTAAACCAAAGATGGATAATCAAAGTGCGCGCACACCCCACTCATAGACACACTGAATCACTCACCACTCACCACTAGGACTAAGATATAGGGTTTGTTTTGTGTGGGCACCAAGTCATATTCATATGTACGACCTTGACTCCCCCTAGTACCTAGTAACACGATTAAGAGTCCCCGACCTCAGATTTGAACAAGGGATCCCTGGGTTAGACAACAACGAAAGTGCCGGGTAAGGTGGAACCAGAAGCTCCTGTCCCAACCCGCAGCATATTAATGTTTTCGATCGCCAACGAAGAGATTTGACCTTGACCCGTCCTGTCGTCAAACTCCACTCACTCACCAAAGCTTCTAGATGTCAAAGTCAACTCACCAACACTTCACCAACACGGAGAAACAACCTTATAAGGTTTCACCAACACCACACACTAATTAAAAATCAACAACTCCTCATTAAAGATTCACCAACACTAAAACACAAGCTTACAATGCTTCACCAATACTGCAACACAATTACACAATGGAATTAATATTACAAATAACTCACTATAAGTTCACCAACACTTGACCCGTTAAATTAAAAACAACACGTTGTTAAAGATTCAACAACACCAACTATTCAAAGTATTCAACAACATTAAACTCACCAAAACCTAGCCAACAGTTCTCCAACACTTCATCAACGTTTCACCAACACTCAATCACACCAAACTCTAAACGTACTTAATCGACTTTTTTGTATTCTACTAGTATCTCTATGAATGTGTACTGAATGTTTTTACTTGGTGTCCTCTCTTATTTAGGCTTAAGGAAATCGAAATCGAAAGAAACGGAAATGAAATGAAATTCAAACTTATATCAAAAACCAAGCACACCGATACATTTAGCATTGTACTTGATAAGCTATCGATACTAGCGTTAGATGCGAATCAAAATATATATATACGCGAAGTAATAGGTATATCTCTCTGTCTTAATCGGATATGCGTACCTTTTTGAGGGGCCCCCGGCAGATTAGGAGGCCAGCTAATTTATCAAATACAAGTAATCGTAGCCATAGTAAAATAAATTTGAAATTGAATTAAATGTCTCGAGACCAAACCCAAATCCAAAAAACTAAAAATCCAATCAAACTAAACAACAATGAGCCGCAACGTTTGTATTTATGTATAGAGTTCCCTCCCTAACCAACAGATAAACCTATAACAATCGAGTTCCGATTTCACGAGAGTTAGGCAGCAATTAAGTAACAAATACAGATAAATAATAAAGATAATGATAATGATAAAGATTAACTCAAGTTACGTCAACTTAGTGGCAGTGTAAACGCGTCTAGATAATTGATAGATATGATTAAGAACTTTTGACTTTTATGGCTGTTTAGAGATTTTATAATACGTCTATATCGATATAGAAATTATATACATACATGATATAAATAAGCCCAAAAACATTTTCGTAATTTATTTACATACTCAGACACACAGACACACGCCATGCGACTAAGCAACTTTAGTCCCCAAATGATTTTCGGCTAGTTCTGGCTTGGAATACCCTCCAGAGACCCATATCTTCGGGATCTTTGGGGTTAATCTCTCTGTAGCCCATGGAGGGAAAGAAATCGAACATTGTGAAATTTAGTGTCTTTACACTTTAAAGAGAAAATATATACAAAAACGGATTAATTAAGAATTGTGAAACTCAAAAACTCGAAAACACGAATGCAGATGCAGATACAGATAGAGATAGAGAAACAGAGGCAGATACAGATACACCAACTCACAGATGCAGATGCATATAAATTATGATAATTACATACTCTCGTACATATGCCTAAAAGGATAAACGTGTAGTAATCTACAGCCACAACAAAACAATTACAAATAAATGTCTATATATGAAACGAACAAGATTTAATATGCGCGATATGCGTATATCATTATATACTTAAATGTATTTGTGTATATGAAAACAAACGCTATCGAAGTAAACCAAATTATAAAAAAAAACATACAAAAGAAAAGAACAAAAGGAAAGAGAAGCAAAAAAAAAAACGACAACAAATAACAAATACAAAACACAACATTTAAAAAGAAATGAAAAACTGTTTTTTAATGAATATGTGGGAATGCCTTATTGGGAAGCTTTTTTATAAGCTAACAATTCGAATAACTTTCCGGGAAAGTTAGGATCTGCGGATTTGGTTAAAATATGTTTTTTTTTTTTTTTTTTGTCTATAACTTGACCAAAAGTAGTCCGAAATCAAAAATTCAAACTGTTATGAACAGCTTAAAATGTATTAAAATAATCCCTGTTACTTTTTGGCTTATTTAAAAAAGATAATTTTAGATCAATTTTTGCATTTTTGATAAGGGGTTACTACACAATTTTTTCCACAAATTGGCAAAAAATAAAAATTTTCAGATGTGAACGCCAATCGATTAGGAATTTAATTACGAGTTTAACAAGGTATGACATTCCATATTTGGGCCAATATTTTCTTTGTTTTGACCAAAGAATTGATTTTTTTTCGTTGAAAATCAAGATGTGGATTATTTAATATTTTTATGTGGATTTTTGGTTAATTTATTGTTATAACTCGGAATGAATGAACTGATTCCCTTCTGCTGCCGAGTATCTCAAGACCTATCAATCATCAATCGAAGCCAAGTAGTCGCTGTCGAGTCAGTCGTCTAAATTCCAAAACACCGTTTGGGCGATCCCAGACAGACTAGACTTATTTACTACTGTAGCTAAAAAGGTTTACCCAAAGAAAAGGACTTCCGGCCGACCCAGAACCAGATCGAGAGATAGTTATAGAGATACGATAGCAGAGTGAGTATCCCGAGAGGTTTCCCCATCGAGATGGCTTACTCGTTTCTTAAGTTCATAATGGGCCAGACGCTGTCGGAACCGGTGACCACCAAGGACTCGGCCTGCTGCGGGAATTCGGCATATCGCGTGGGCTCCAGCTGCATGCAGGGATGGCGCGTTGAGATGGAGGATGCCCACACCCATATTCTATCCTTGCCCGAGGATCCGCAGGCGGCCTTCTTCGCCGTCTACGATGGACACGGTGGAGCGGCGGTGGCCAAGTTTGCGGGCAAACATCTGCACAAATTCGTGACCAAGAGGCCGGAGTACAGGGATATTAATGGTGTGGAGTTGGCCTTAAAACGGGCCTTTCTCGACTTTGATCGCGAGATGCTGCACAATGGTTCCTTTGGCGAGCAGAGTGCCGGTTCCACGGCCGTGGTGGTTCTCATTCGCGAGCGGCGCCTGTACTGCGCCAATGCGGGTGATTCGCGGGCCATTGCCTGCATTTCGGGTGCAGTGCATCCTCTGTCCGTGGATCACAAACCGAATGATGAGGCGGAGGCCAAGAGGATCCTGGCTGGCGGCGGTTGGGTGGAGTTCAATCGGGTTAATGGCAACCTGGCGCTTTCCCGCGCCCTCGGCGACTTCATCTACAAGAAGAACTCTCAAAAGACTCCAGAAGAGCAGATTGTGACCGCCAATCCGGATGTGGAGATCCGCGACATCAACGATGATTGGGAGTTTGTACTCCTCGCCTGCGATGGCATCTGGGATGTGATGAGCAGCGCGGAGGTCTGCCAGTTTGTGCGCAGGCGCATTGCCGCTGGTCTCGAACCGGAGACCATTTGCGAGGAGCTGATGAACAACTGCCTGGCTCCCGATAGCCAGACGAGCGGTCTGGGTGGCGATAATATGACCGTGATCCTTGTGTGTCTGCTGCACAACAAGAGCTACGAGGATCTGGTGGTGCGTTGTGGGGGAAAGAGGAAGTTAGCCACCTCTAGCAGCCCCTTGGAAACTGTGGGCGACATCAAGGATCCACCGTCGGTCCTGAAAGTCGTGACTCCTCATTTCTCACCGGGATCTTCGTCGGGAACCTCTCGTCTGGGCATGGGTTTCAGCCTTCGCGAGAGCGATTCCCCAAAGGAGAATTCTTAAATGCTTATCCACTGTGTTTTTTTCTGTTTTGCGTTCCTTGTTTCTCGTTTTTTGGCTCCCACAACTATTTAGATCCTCACACTGATTTCAGTCCCAAATTACCAGTTGATTTCGAATCTTTTTTTCACCGCTTTGGCAGTTAAAATTTAATAAAATGTTCCAATAAGTAAATAATAAATACACTGATAAAAAAATAGAAAATTATATTAAATATAAGCATTTTAAATTCAAAATGTCGTATTTAATATTTAAACTCAATATTATTGCTTGAAATGATCGATGTTTTGACCATATCGATTTGATAATATTAATTTAATAAAAACAGAAATATATTCACATCAAAGCTAAAATACCTTCCAAGTTCCCAAGAAAAACACTTTCGATTTCTAATTTCTCGGGGATCAGTGGATCTCTCGTTTAATTCGAATCAATGTGCAAATCTATAATACAGTTTTAGAGCTACGTATACGTGTATATGGTATATATATATATCTTTTGGTGTATATGGTAAGTACGAGTATATAAAGGTAATATGCGTATGCATCTAAATCGAAGTATCTTTGGTGCGATTAGCTGTAGGTCGAGTCGGAGCTTACGAAATGCAGTGGGTTGCCTGTCTCTCGATGAACTAGATGGTAGATGGTAAGTGCTACAATAAAATAAGCGATCTCTCCGAAACGAGATGGAGTAAAATAAAAATGTACAGATTTTTAGACTTCTAAATGATAAAGATAGAGTGTGTATGTGGTAGAGGCTAATTAGTGTTACAGTTATGTCAATTATTGCACCACATGCGGCCGTAAAGTGCTTAAAATAACGCCGCGCACAAAAGTGAGGAGATCGAGGAGGATCCCCCGCTCTCTGTCGCCAATATTGTGCGCTGAATTTAAAGATAAAGACTAGAAATTCTCTCGTTTTGGACCGACTTCCGTGCCGGAAGCAGGAAGTCGATCAATGCCTTAATGCAAAGTGATTAATGGGGTTAGTAAGTGTGTTTTGTTTGTTTTTCAGATTCAGAAATATCTTTGGTTATTCCTAGTTCTTTGTAAAATCATAATGCCTAGGTGACTATGTGTAAAGTTTGTAGCTTTGCTGCATTTGTTCGATCGTTTTGTGTTTTTTGGGATACTATATCTCTAACTCTCTTTGCTCGCTCTTTGATCATCGATGATCGTGAGTATGTGCTATAAAAAAATACTGGTTACATTGGTTTTTTGTCGCTGTTCTTGGCAAGTCTCTAAGAAGTCTCTTATTACAACTAAGTGAAGATCAAACGATCAATCGGGGATCGATCCAACCTTGTCTCTCTACATATATGTATATCTACTGTGTATAACCTCGTCTCTTTTGCGGTTTTTTCTTTGGAGAGAACTCGTCTGTTCGTTAAGCTTTCTGGAATCATCTACTCTCTAATGGTACTTTAGCTCTTTTGCATTTTTATCACATATTCGTTGACTACAGTAAGAAAAGGTCCTGGTTTTTTGTTTGGGGTGGGCTTTGTTTAGAGCTTTAAAAAATCGATATTTTCGATAGTTTCACAACATTTTATCGATAATTTGGATGAAAATATCGAAAATATCGATATTTTTCCAGCTCTACTTTGGTTTTAGTTTTTGACATTTAGTGGGTTTTCAAAAAACGTCTCCTCGAATTGGTTTTAGGTAGTGCTCGTGCTCTTGCTCTCTCCGGTGTCTTTTGCTTGGTGTCCTCGTTTTGGGGATCGGGATCTCCTATGCCACCATGGCATAGTTCCCAGTCAGCTCGAAGGGACTCGTCTTGGCCGAGTGTGTAAAGTTGTTCTTGGGCGAAAAGTCAACAGGCTGTTCCTGCGTGGAGGCGGTAATACCCCCTTGAGGGTTTCCAGTTTGGTTCGGAAAGTGGTAGGGCAAGGCCAACGGCAAAGGCAGCGGCAGGTGGTTACTGGGATGCAGCTCCTGGTAGATACTGGGTATTCTATGAGGCAGCACCGTCGGCTGGATAACGTTGATCCGCTTGAACTTCTCGTACTCCTCCAAAGCGGAAGCAGAGTGGCTGTAAGCAGTTACTTCTGAGCCAGCTGGATAGCCCTGAAAGGCCAGGGCCGCCTGCCTGCGATCCTTTTCCTTCTGCAGCAGCTTGTTGGCCAGTGTGGATTTGGCCGAGTCGGGAGCAGCACACTGAAAGAAAAGAAAGGTATAAAAGGTTAGATGGTTGAGACTTTGATTGAGATAATAAATATGTTATTATAGTGAAGACATAGCGGAGTAAGTTTATACAAAAAAGGTGCTGAAGAATTCGCGTTTGAAGTTCTTATATTTTAATGATTAAACACTGAATACTGAAGAATTCGAGTTTTAAGTTTTATTATTTCAAGGATTAAACACGCAAGGCTAAAGAATTCGCGTTTTTAGCTCTTTTACTTAATGAACAATTTAAGTAAATATATTGGACCTAATAAACTCACCACAGTGGAAGGTGATCCAGTGCCCAACGATGAAGTGCCACCGCTGCCCACCTCCAACTGCTGTCTCTTGGGCGATGTGGGAGGTCGGTTACTTGAGGCCGAACCCGTACCCGCAGTCGATCCCGAGACCCCCGCGCGGTTCTTCATGCACGAGGACTCCTCGTGCTTGTACAGGTAGGACTTGAGGGCAAAGGCCTTGCCGCAACGGGCACAGGTGTGGGGCTTGGTGTTCGAATGGGTCTGGATGTGGGCACGCAGGTTGCTCTTGTCGGCGAAGGCCTTCTCGCAGACGCCGCACTTGAAGGGCTTCTCGCCGGTGTGGGTGCGGATGTGGCCCTGCAGGAGCCAGGGCCTCGAGAAGCGCTTGCCGCAGAACTGGCACTCGCAGCCCTGGTTGTGCGTCCTCACGTGCATCGAGTACGCGGGCATCGAAACGTATACCTTCTCGCAGTAGGGACAGTGACGCGCCTTCTTGTCCATGATTGACCTTAAGAAAAAAAAACCAAATGTCTTAATTAAATATTTGTTTCCCCAACAATTTTTTACAACATTTTGAAAAATTCTAGAAATAAAAAAAAAAAAATTAACATTATTTAAGAACAAATTAACTTATTTAAGAACAAATTTTACCGCAAAACTAAATTACACATTTTGGAAAACTATTGAAATTTGTAAAATGATTATTCTTTTTTTTTTTAATTCTTGATATTTGTAAAATGATAGGTATTTGTAAACGGACCTTTATTTAAAAATTTAGAAAATCTCTACAAATTTATTAAACTTAAGAAAAGGAAGTTTAAGCATTTTAAAAATTTCTAGTAATCTAAAATATCTAATGTTTTAAAATATAAAATTCACCTGTGAGTTTGTCTATGACGAGCTAGGTTCGAGGATGTGGAATATTTCTTGCCGCACTCGGGGCAGATGTGCTCGTCCTCCAGCAGCGAAGTGCTGTTGGGAATCTCGCCCTGCTCCGCATGATGATGGTGCTCGGATGAATGCCCCTGGAGACCCAGACCCAGATGATCCTCCGTGGACTGCAGGCTGGAGGTGGAACTGGCACTGCTGCTGCTGGTGCAGGAATTCGAGTCGGAGATGGTGCAGCGGCGCAGTTTCCTGCGATCGAACACCTTGTGGCTGTAGTAGTTGGACTCGTCATCCGAGGAGGCATAAAGACTGCTGGCCGGTGGCTTGGCCTCGGCTGTGATCAAGGGACCCGCCGCCAGAGTGACCTCCGCCAGCTGGGTGAGATTGTACAGCTCCTCGGGAATGGGCGTGGCCTGCTGGTCCTTCGTCATTGTGTTCTGAAGAGATGGTGAAATGCCTGCAAAAGAACGGGGAAATTCTGTGATGAAAACAGCATGACGAAATACGAAATACTTATTATTATAGGAACCTGCTTAATGCGCACTGGGTGCGTCATTACCTGGCTAAAATAGACCAAAACTATTTATATATACGGAAAACTCAAAGTATATCTAAGATATATATTTATCATAAGTTAATGTCCACCTTTACCGCTTCCTAGAAATAATATTACTAAATATTCTTAAACAGTTTCTAAAGTTTTAACAAATTTAAAAATACAATTAGCTAAAATAGACCAAAACTAATTATATATACGGGAAATTCAAAGTATCTCCTTCAAAATTGTACTATCATTAAATATTCTTATAGGATTTACCAATCCATCCCATCAACAGTTTAATAGTTCCAAATGTGGTGTGAAGGAATCGTATCGAATAGTATCCTCATTAATTAAAAGCTTCATTAGTGGTTCGTTATGTTCTTGAAAATGCACGAAAATTACACCAATAATCGAATTCTTCGGCATGGGAAAGGCAAACGCACATCCATGGCGCGATCGCCGCCATCTATCATCCTATCCCACCTATCATAGATCTTTCCTACGCCATAATTCTTGTTTGTTTATTTGAAAATGCATCAATTTATAATTAAGGACAGAGTCGAGAGGCCACCACACTCACACCCAGAGTCTGAGATGTGAGCCAAAGTCGTCTGCATCATCGTCATTGCCGAATGGGAATTATCGCACATGGTTGAGGGTGAGCAGTGGCCACGGGGCGTATGATTAACGTCATTGCATACTGCATATTGCATTCTGATTCGGATTCTGATTCCGATTTGGATTCTAAATTCTGGCACTTGTTGGCTTCTGTTTCTGTTTGTGGTTCGGTGGTCTGCTCGCCTCTTTGCGTGGTCAAATAAATTGATGTCGAAATGAGTGCGCTTAATTTGTTCATGTTGTCTTGGCATTGATTAATCTCGCACGTAATTGGCGCATCCGAAAGTCAGGTGGGTTTTTTGGTCAGCTAAAATAGGTGAGTTCCCCAATGGTTGGAGTTTACTGTACTGGTGATACACAGGGAAAAATAATCACAATGATATTCTGTATTCTAGTGTCGTTTTAGAAAATATTTTCATTGTGAATCATAACCATAATTTATTAAAAATATTTTAAATATTATTTCTTAAATAAGAACTTTTCTAAGAATTTTTCTCTGCGAAGCGCCATTAAATTTTCTATATGCCTGATCATCTTCCGATCGTTTGTTTATCATGAGAAAGTTTTCTCCTTTATTTTTGTGCCCCCAAAAAAGTGGTCTAAATAATCAAACTCATTGAAGAATCCGGTGGGGAAATCTTAAGATCTCTGGATCTGTGTGGTTTTTCCACTCTTGAGGAGGTCATGTGCAATACTGCGGCGGCTGTTTTGGGTTTTGATTTTGAATTTGCTCTTGCTTTCCGTTTTGTTTGTTTCTCTAACGTTCTGAGGCCAGCCGCGTGATGTACATATATATTTTGAGGGAAAATGTGGGTGAAAATTCCCCGCCCTGGGTAAAAACATTTGCCAACCGCCCCCGCAAACGAAATCTGCAACCTGTTGCGCCTTCTTAGCTGCCAATTCTGATCGTCTGCTCCTCGGGGAGCAGTACATCAAAATGTTTTTGCGGCAATTAAGCGGAATTCTTCTTTTTGCCGCTGCCGAGGTGGTCGAAGGTGCTCGAAAGTGGTTTTCCATGAAATAATTATTTCCCTGGCTTTTCTTTTTTGAGTGGGTGTGAGCGAAATGCCGCCAGACATCCATAATTTGTGTCTTGGCAATTTGCGGCCCATTTATTTATATGCCCCACCACCTGAGGCCCTGTGTTCCCAGGTGGTTGCCGAATACATTTAAAAATAGCACTCACAGCACTCAAATGTATGCCATTTTCCGCCTAATCACGTCATTTTCAATACGCGATTTCCATCGAACGCGAACAATATGCGTCTGAGAATTTGCCGGGGAAAAACAGCTGACAGTTGATCGGTGGTGGACCTCCTCTACAGACCCCCTATACATTTGTACTCATACTTCCCCCCAAAAGAAATGTCTGCGCCATATTTCCGATGTCAGAATCGCTTGGGGCATACGAAATGTCGCATGTTTCTCTGACAGCCCGTTAATTAATTATTCCGCGGCCCCGTGCGATTGCAGATCGGTAATCGCAGATGACAGCCAGAAGGTGGGTAGGGATCGTCGATAAGTGCCTTCAAGTCTAATGGAAAACATGGGGAATTCTCTCTAAGAAGTTCTTAAATAGAGCACATACTAACGGAGGGGCAACCTATATAAAGTTAGGAAACTTTATTTATGTATATTCAGACTTTAATTTAATTTATTAAATGTAAGGAAATTCATTTAAATTTATCTATATTATTTAATAATAGAAATCTCTTCATTCAGTAAATAATAAATAAAGCTCAATTGTGTATACTAAAATTATTTCTAAATTAGTTAGTTAAAAAAATCAAATAAAAAATCTCTAATTAAAAATCAACAATTAATAAAATTATATATTTAAGTTTTCCACAGTGTCTTTAAGCTGCTTAGACTCCCCCCAAATGGATGAATCATTCTCGTTTCCCTCCAACCGAATCTTGGGCATTCCATGTGCACCGAACAATGGACTGCGGACCGGGTAAAATATTTAACTTTTCGCCTGCCATTTTCATTTCCATGCCGCCGCAGATCTGCGCAAATTGCGTGGTCTTCGCTCTCCGATCTCCACGATCCCCGGCCTTATAGCTAGTATATAGCCAGTATTGTCCGGGTCCGTGTTTTCTGGACCGGGAAAGAGTTCAAAGTCCTGTTAATGTACACAAGAGCCAAGAGAAGTGCTGATGGCCAGCAGAGGTGGCTTCGGTGGCCTTAACATGCGTCTTTCTTTCGCTCCCGGGCATCTATAAATACCACCTATAAGATCGGATCCCAAAGGCAGTGATCCCTTGCATAGTTTACATTTTAGTTCAAACTTGAAAATGCGAATGCACAATAAACAAAATCCGGAGCGCCAGCCTCAACCTCTGGCTGTTGTGTTCAGAGTCCAGAGTCAATGCCATATACCATATAATACCATATAATACCCGTACCCATACCCATTCCACCCCCACTGCGCTGCGATTGAAATGTTTGGATTTGGGCATACGTTTTTGTTTACCCCGGAACGCAGGCCCTCATCAATCGTTGCCTCAACTGCAGTTCCGATGGTTTGTTTATCGATCATTTCGGGGGGCATAAACATTTGGACGGGAAAGGACACAAAGGAGCACAGGCTGCCTCACCTGTAAACCAACGAGGGTAATTAGCCGCCCCAAAAGACCGCAAGATTGATCAGATATATCTGTTGTTTTATGCGCCTAAATTGGGCTGAAGATCTACGCATTTAAGACCGCGAGACAATGGGTATATAATATACATAAAGTCCCAACGGGAAGATACTATCCTATACTATACATTCCCGGCCACTATTTCCCGTTCTCAGAAGCTCATTGCCAATGCAAACATTGCTCACGTAAATGTCAAAATATCAAAAGAAATAATAATATTAATTTAACAAGTGCGGTACGTTCGCCATAAGGTGGGGGGTCCGAAATGCTGGGGGTTTGGGAATCGGAAAACGCCGCTCATTTGCAGTCACGCGAATGTTTTGGCCCAATTTGCCAAGCAGATTTTCAGTTCGATCTTGTTTCGGTTCCTGGGCAAAGAGTTATGTGTGTGTTCTATTGTGTAATCGCCGAAAGGTGGAAATAAGGTGGGAAAATGGAAAAGCTAAGCGTTTGAGAAGCTCCCTTGATTTCCTTTCACTTTTCCTTCTTTTTTTGCCAACTCACCCCACGCAGTTCGAATAGTTTCGGGCAAACGATCCACTCTCGTCTTCACTCTATCCCGTATATAGACGGATGAATCAGTTGCCGATGAGAAATCAATAATATATCACACACAGAGAACAAATTCCACGAATTTCATCACCCGCCAAGAGTTCGCATGCGGTTAATGCGGTGGTAATGGGTGTACTGCCGTTGATTTTCTTTTTTTTTTGGGGGATCGCGATTGCTAATGATCCTCGGATAAGTGTCAAACCGATTAATTAGTCGCACGGACGGATGGCGCATCCGTAAAGGCGAGCGCACGCAGCGAGATCCCAGGAAGAACTGAGCGTTCTTCAGCGGACCACTTACAGTTTTTACATCTTGCGGCCGCCGCCGACTCGATTCTTCTGCCTCCGGCGGCGTCCACCTCACGGCCTCCTCGACTCTCCTGACTCTCCTCTGCCATCCTCTCCTACGTTTCTGCTGCCGTAAATTGCACTGGAAAAAAGAATCGATTGTGGTAGATTTTATAATAATGAAAGGTAAACCTTTATATGCTATAATAAAATTCTATACAAATTTAAGTAAGTTTTTATAAAACGAAAGTCAATAAAAACAATATTCATATTTTTAAAAAATTGTTAAAAAGTGCAAAAAAAAAAATGAATAAAAGAAGGAAAGAAAAAAATGGTAAAATTCAAAAGTAGTTTTTTAAGAAGTAATGGTTCAATACTAAAGATCTAAAACTGGATTAACATTCTATAAGAGATCTGGGTTTTACGAAATTAAAAACTTCAGATATTTTGCCTAATAAGTGTATAATATAAATGTTTTTTAAATTATTCTTAATTTCTTCGGACATAGATTTTTTTTAAATTATAGATTCGGCAGGAATTTATTTAGGAATTTTTTATTGCACCCCCTAATTTCGCTCCGTGTACATCCGCATCCACGTCGAGGAGGTGACGAAGCTGACGCAGAGCAACAGACACGGAACGAACCGCCGGAGGGATTGGTGGTGCAGGGGGAGGGTGATGGGAAGGAGGTCGACGTGGACGTGGCCGACAGCCAGCAGCTGTTGGCCGCTCTTCCCGAGGATCGGGATCGTATGGGGATCGAACATAACTCCGAGAACGAACCACGACGCAGGCAGCGACGCCGGCAGAGGCTGCGACGGAGGAACAAGTGTGTGCGGTTTAAAAATAAATCGAAAATAATGTTTTCATTGTGCTACCGTCGCTCTCTGCTCTCTCTCTCTGATTTTCGCCTGCATTTTCCGAAAGGGAAAACAGCGATCGAGGTGGCGATGCTCCTGCTGGCAGGACCACTGCGCAGAATTCTTCTAACGATCCGCAGTCAGTGTCAAAAACCTCACACACTCGGTGCAAAACAGAAGGGGTTATACGAATAGGATTGAATATTTTTATTAATTCGAGAATAATAATATGTATCAATGTTAAGTTTCTTTAAAATCTTAGTAGTCCATCAATGGAGAATTACTGGAGAATTAATACATCCAAACTATAAAAGCTATAAGCTAATTTACAAATATTTGTAAAACAACGTAATCCTTTTAAGCTTAAACCTATTCAAAATTGAAAGGAATGTGGTATATTGCTAGAGTTTTAATTATTTTATTAGGTTTTTCGATAAAGATACTATATCTTCAGAGATACTTCATATTTTTAAAAAACATTCTTCCAGTTTTTTATAATTTTATTTCGGTTTTTATTAGAACCAGTGGAAGTGCTACTTTTGTGACCTCGTCTGTGAGTATTTGCCCCATGTGTCAGTGTGTTTTCGCCTGCCCCCATGCTGATTTGCCTAGAAAGAGAGATGGAGAGAGTGTTGATGCTCTCGCTTCGTGGTTGGGCAGTTTCTTCTGTAGCCGGCTCCCCCGTCTTCTTGTTGTTTCTTTTTGTTTTTACATAGATTCTTCTCCTGCTGATTATGGCTCTTCGCGAAGAGTGACGCAGTCGTATGCAATTTGGCATTTTCCTCGCTTGCGTACTTGTTGCGAACATCCAAAATAGACCTGCTCACCTGTACCACCCCCGCCCCCGGAATCTTCGCCCAGAATTTTCCGCTCTCTGGTAAGAATTTCCCCACCTCCTTTGGCCTTTGAAAGCCAAAAGCCCCGAAAACGGATTTCTCACAGGTGTTGTCGTCGCCTCGCCCGTTTTCTCTCGTTCCTTCCACTTTTCATTTTCGACTTTTCAGGCGTAATGAACTTAATGTCGCCCCTTTTGGTCGGATTCTTCGGATGTATTGGGTGCTAACGTATTTTCTATATATTCGATATGATTTATGCCGAGCTGTTGGTTCTGGTTCAAATTGGTTTCTGATGTTTCACAAAAGATCTTTACAGTTGGGTGGGGATTGTAATGGGTTTATATCTATAAAACCACCCCTTCTCCAACTAATCTGTTTAGTGCCCTGTCTTTATTTCTCGATTTTTCGCACTTCTTGTGGCATTTTCACACCATCTACAACTTGCAGCCCACGCAGCGAAGACAAAGAAAATGGCTTTGGTGGCTGGGGGGTTGGAAAAGCGGAAAAGGAAAGGGGTGGCTTTGTCTGGCGCCAACATGGAAATGCAATTTGAGTGGTAAGGTCAGGATGGGCCATAGCCATGCATCACGATCACCGCGGAGCTTTGGACCCGCCAAAGGAAAGGAAAGGAAGTGTGACATGTGCTAAAGACATCTTGCGTCGACTTTAATCACGGCAATTAATAAGAGAAGAAAGGAGCCCCGGGCACAAAGGAAGTGTCCCCCCAGTGATAGCCCGGCAAATCGCAGTGGATCAGCTTGGTTCTCAGTGGTATAATGGTATAATGGCATAGTTGTACATAGTTATATACCCCATGGCCTCACCCTGAGCGAGCAATTCTGGAAAACCGTCGCGACTGGCGGCCATAAATCTATTTTCGTCCTGGTTCTCCAGCCGGAGTCCCCCAGCCGCTGGAACTCCTCGAGGCCCCGAGGTAATCTTTTCTCACTTGCTGCGCAATTGCGTGGTCCAATCTCTCAACTCCACACTGAAAGAATAAATGTTTAATTATATTTTTAAAAAAAAACTGATTTATTTGATTTGTAATAATAACTCCTCCAAAAAAAATTTTACAAAACATTTAGAACTTTCTAATAATTAACCGTTATTTAGGGCTTCAAGCAGTGTTAAAATACAATTACGATTCTTGACCATTCATTAAGATACATAAATAAAGTTAAAATTTTGATAAATTATTCTTATTATCTCCCAATTGGCCCCTCATTTTCCCCCAGTGCTTGACTGTTTATTAAGTGCCCCTGGATCTTTATTTTTAACTGCTCCCGTCAAGATCGGGTGGTTCGGTTTTTATTCTCTGCGTAGGTAAAATGCAAGGGGTTTACGAGTATGGTGCACTTGTATTTGGCCACCACCTCGTCCGAATTGAATCCGCAAGTGAATCGAATTCACATCCGCAAATTCCAGACGGCGGAGGGTGTCCAATTATTTACGCAGATAAATAAGCGGAATCCGCCTTAATGCGAAATTCAACAAGAAATTAAGAAAGAAAACGGGAAAAGCACAAACAATTTTCCTCTCCTTTGTTTTCTTAAATAATTCCCCACAATGATGTGGGTTACTAAATTATACCCCAAGATTCAGATTGATCTCGAAATTGGATCATGGATTTCGAGTGGCCGTAATTTATGTGGAGTAGTGCAACTTCAGCACCCAATCACTGACTTTCGTAGCATCCTGTTTACAGGAATTCTTCAAGGGTTTCGTGTCGGATGGATATGGGATATAACCATGGGACAGAGGGGCACCTGACTTGCGGAAAGGGAGAGACAACCGGCCGGATATGTGAGTAATTCCTGGGCGTTTTGGATCGTGCCGTTCCGTGGCGAGATCATAAAGTTCTATTTATACCGATAAGGGGAGAGCTATAGCTATATTGCTGCGGGAAGTTCAAACTCCGAATCCCCGATTCCCGAACTCCGATCGCCGAGAACTTTCCAAGTGCAAGTGGAGCTCTAGCGATTCCGTAGGTGGCTGCCACTTTGCAAGGCCCATACGAATATATTTTTTTGGGGGGTGGAGATGGGGAGGTTGGAGGAGCGGTTGGCATGTGCCGCCACTTGAATCAGTGGCTGTTTATTGGGGATTGGGAAGAGGATGCGGGATGGAACGGCAAAGATATGGGGCTCCCGAGTGCCATGTGCAATGGCAGCCAAACATCAACCGTGTCAAAATTCAAAGAAACAAAAGCGGAAATGTTTTTGTTTTCCTTATTTTTAACAGCCGCCACATGAGGAAAACTAAAACAGGCGAGTGGTAATGGAAAGCTGATTTTGGTCAATGAACTTTACCCGTCTATAATTCTATAATTGGCCCGGCTAGCGGAATTGAGTTATTAACCTGAAGCGAAATGATGCTCAAATGTAACAAATAGTTGATTAAATGCTTTGGTTTATATACCTAGTATTTTAACCTATTTGACAAAATTTAAGTTTTTTTATATAATTTTTAATTATTTGAAAGTTAAAAAAAAAACATTTAAAAATGGGTACACACACTTTTTTATTTAAATTAAAGAATTTAAGATCAAGCTTTAGGACCGCAAAAATCACAAGCAAAAGATTAAAACCCATATTAATACAGATTCCAAGAACATTTAACTTAAAAAAGTAATATTCAAGAAATATTAATAAATCGAAAAGAATATTAATTACTTATGGATTAAAAAATATCCTGTAATATGTTTGTATTTCCAATGCTAAAGCAGGTACTGCTTTTTCTTACCTAGGTAAGGTACAATATACCACTAAATTGTACCTAGGTACATTGGTTCTTTCTCAATATGTAGAAAGGGAGTGTAGAACATGTAAAGAACATGTAGAAACAAGTTTTAGTATTAAAATACCAGATAAAAATTAGTGTGCAAAAGGCGTTAGTAATATAGCTTTGGTATTTATTTATTTGCCTGAACTCCAGCTCAATCGTAAAAAGGTGAAAATTGTTGCTGAATTTTCGCGAAAAACACTGGAAAAAGCAGGAAAACTAAGGAAAAAACTGTGCCGGAATATGCACTACTAGAAGGAGCACACGTAAATCACAAAAAACGCCACTCGGAAGACGCGGAGCTAGCAAGGATTAGCTGCAAACATGGCGCCCACCCCCTTGCCCCTCGAACAAATGCCCGGCGTTGGCGGCGGCGGCGGAGGCTACTTGCCCGCTGGCCAGGTAATACCTCATCTTAAATACATGTAGACCTTCCAATAGATCCTAATTACAATCACAATTACAGGAGGGCGGCCCACGGATCAACACCATGTCCATGTCCGTCCTGATCGACTTCATCATCCAGCGCACCTATCATGAACTCACTGTACTGGCTGAGCTGTAAGGTTACATAGTATAATAAGTGTATAACATTAATTATTCCTTCAATAATTTAATGCATTTTCTATAAAACTCACTCTCATACCTATTTAAAATACGCATTTTAGATGATCTAAGTGAATACCATATGATATCATATCAAACATTTACTGTGCTAAATGCTTTAACTCCTCAATAATTTAAGAGAACTTTTGGAAAACTGCCTCTACTACCTATTAAAAGTACTCAATTTAGATGATCTTTAGTGAACACCATATGATATCATATCAAATATGATACAATACGATTATTTTTTAATTATTTACTGTGCTAAAGGTACTTTTTAGAACAATACAGAAAAGCTTATCTAAAGTCCTTATATAAAATGTTCTATAGATTCTAAAAAAGTGTAACTATTGCTAGCCTCAATTTTAGAAACTTGAGAAACAAATGTAGTTTAATTTGTACTAAAAAAAAATAGGTAATATAGTACAAATTAAACTATATATGCTTCTAAAATTAATTTAATCCAACATATTTCTTAAACGTAATATTAATCCTCTAATTCATCTTCCAGTTTGCCCCGCAAAACGGACATGGAGCGCAAGGTGGAGATCTACGACTATGCGGCCCGCACCCGCCACTTGTTCACCCGCCTCAATGCGCTGGTCAAGTGGGGCAACTCGGTCTCCAAAGTAGACAAATCCTCGCAGATCATGAGCTTCCTGGACAAGCAGAACATGCTCTTCGTGGAGACGGCCGACATGTTGGCGCGCATGTCGCGCGAAACGTTGGTTCGCGCCCGATTGCCCAACTTTCACATACCCGCTGCCGTTGAGGTGCTGACCACGGGCACCTACAACCGGCTGCCCACCTGCATTCGCGAGCGGATTGTGCCTGCCGATGCCATAACGCCGGCGGAGAAGCGGCAGACGCTGCTGCGGCTGAACCAGGTCATTCAGCACCGTCTGGTGACGGGAAAACTGCTGCCGCAGATGCGGGAATTTCGCATTCGCAACGGGCGAGTCACCTTCGAGGTGAAGCACGAGTTCAGCGTGGCCCTGACCGTGATGGGCGACAATCCCACGGTTCCCTGGCGACTGCTGGACATCGATGTGCTCGTGGAGGACAAGGAGACGGGAGGTAGATAATTAACCCTTAAAACACCAAGCAAACCATTAATTCCACTTCCTTTCCTAGATGGCAAGTCTTTGGTGCATCCCCTGCAGGTCAACTACATCCACCAGCTCATCCAGGCGAGACTGGTGGAGAATCCCAATGCTTTGAGCGAGGTCTACAACTGTCTGCACTACTTCTGTCAGTCGCTGCAACTGGAGGTTCTGTACACGCAGACTTTGCGCTTGAACTACGAGAGATTGGACGACAACAACATCACGGTGGAGGAGTATGTTCCAGGCGTAAAGTTGACCGTGTCCTACTGGCGCGACCTCAAGTCGGAGCTGGGCTACCGACTCACCGTTCAGTCGGATCCCAGCGAGATTGGGCGTCCGCTGGCAGTGGTCCATGTGCCCTCTTTGGGAGCCAAGGAGTCCGCCGAGGTGGCGGATAGGGCAGTGCGCTCCGAGCATCTCTCAATGGAGCGTCTGATTGTGCATACCGTCTACATTCGATCGGTTTCCAGGCTGAGCGATCTAAAGCTGGAGTTCCAGGCCTTCCTAAAAGATGTTGACTGTGAGTGTAATGTTAAATTAAACCTTTACTTGAATATCCACTAATCCAGTTTATCTTCTATTACAGTTAACCTCCAGGGAACTCCTGCCATTCTGACCGTGCCCGTACTTTCTCCCTGCCTGCGGGCCGAGCAGATTCACATCACCATCGACACGCACACGGGCATGTTCCGCTGTCATGTGCCCAAGCATCTGGATTGTCCCATCACCGAGGAGATGCAGGACTGCCTCAATGGCGATCGCAGCAAGCTGCCCGGTTTGCTCTCCGAGCTGCGCTACTGGATCACCCATCGCAGGTGCGATAAAACCCTGCAACATCTTCCGGCCACTGCCTGCGAAACACTTCCCTTCCTCACGCAACCCGAGCAGGAGCTTTTGCAGCCCGGCAGGCACAAGATTTATGTGAAGCTGCACAGGCATCCCAATATTGTGCTGGTAATTATAAGGAGTTACTTGGATTAGTTATTTAATTTATTAATTACAATATTTGATTCATAACAGGTGGTTCAACTCAAAGAGAAGACCACCATGCCCAATGAAATGGAGTACACCTTCCACCTCGGTTTCGTGGCCTTCCAAAAGGACGAACTGGACGTTATAGACGACTCCGCCAAGCAGCTGGTTTCCGTGGTGGCGCCGTCGCACTCGGACATTCCCAAGTGTTACACCAAGTTGATGCGCCTGATTGAGTTTGACACTTTTGTGGCCACACATGGCCCAGGCACCGAAGTGGATGGTAATCCTAGTGATATCTTAAATCATAATTCATACTAATATAAACCACTCCTTTTAGCGGAGGTTTCCCCGCACAAACGTAAATCGAATGGCGATTTGCTAGCGCCTCCTGCCAAGCAGCAGAAGACCATCTTCCCGGCCTACTTCATTCCCGAGCTGGCGCACGTGGTGGCCATGTGCGACGAGAAGATTCCGTTCATGAACCTGGCGCAGACGCTGTCCAAACATAATATCCCCCATAGCGGTCTGCAGGTGGAGGCGAATGCCACTTCGCTTGTGCTGAAGATTCTGGCACTGCCGCAGCCTGGCAAGTCCACCTTTGCCACGCAGCAGCAGCAGCAACAGCAGGGAGCAGCGGCAGGAACTGTGGAGACCAAGCCAAGTGGCGCCTCTGGGCTACCGAAAATAGAACCTCACGTTTGGGATGACCTAATGCGCCGCGTTCTTTCCATCTCGGTGCGCTCGCAGACCAACAAGAACAGCCAGGTGCGCATCTGGGTGGTGGAGTTCGTCTTCTTCAGCACTCCGCTGCAGAGCAGCCACCAGAAGGAGCAGGGCAGCCGGCGGACTGTCTACCTCACCTACGAGCAGGCCAACCACGACTTTTCCAAGACGGTCGAGGATCTGCTGAACGACTGGTCGAAGATCGTGTACCTGTACACGCTGGTCCACGACTTTGCAGAGCAGTTGAGAAATAGTGGGTTTATACTGGAGTATTTTATTTACTTTTCCTAACAGAAGTTTATATTTCAGAACGCCTTTCTCTGTGCGACATGCTGGTGGTCAAGTCGTACAGCTACATGAACCTGCTGCTCGGCTACGGGCCCAAAAAGGAGGTGAGCTGCAATATCTACTGGTCGGTGCAGTCGCACGGCTTCCGTCTGACCTTCGTGGGCGGCATGTCGGCCGTGAATGCGCACTCGATGATGCGGGATCAGTTGGCGCAGCACTTGAACCAACAGCACAGCCTCACGCAGATTGCGCAGATTCTGCACGAAACATACAGCCCGCTGAGCTCGCTGGCCAAGCTGCCCGTGCTGCCCTACTTGGGAATACCTGTAAGTCATCTCAACTAGTTGCTTTTCAATATCTTATCATAATATCCTATATTCCAGCGACCACAAGTGCCCGTCTTATCCTTTTGCATGCTGGCTCAATCCCCTTGTTTGATGAGGCTGACCTACCAGGCTGTCTACTGCCTGGAGTTGCGCTTCCGAGCGAACAGACTCGTGTCTATTCGCGACGGAGCCAGCAGTCGCTTCGAGCGGAATGTGGTGGAGGAGTTCACGCCCATCCAGGGCCTGAAGGCTTTCCTCTCCAAGTATGTGGACGAATCGGCGGCTTACAGAGGACGTGCTGCCCACGAGGACGACAATCCGCTGTCGCCGATGGGAATGGAGGACACCTTTGGTAATCCGAGCAGTGTGGCGGCAGGGGGATCTTCGCCATTTCTGGGCACTGGGATGCGTGGACCGCAGTCGCCGCGGGACAGTGGCCTGCGCTTTCCAGCCCCTCACACTCCCCCTTCCAGCTCCAATCCGCACACGCCGGCCAGTCCGCATCCGAGTGCGCCCAGTGCCGCCCAGGGACACGGCAACTTCAACCTGACTTCCCCGCCAGCGCCGCACATGCCGCATCCCTCGCCCAGCGGCCTGATGCCCTCGTCGCCGCTGAATCCGCAGCCCAGTCCGCACATGGTTCACAGCCCGGGACCGAATATCTACATGCAGAGCCACCAGGACTCGCCCTTCACGGCCATGTCGCCGGCTAATAATCAGTGGCCCGGTTCGCCCAGCATGCCGCGTCCCTCCCCTCGACCTGGCCAGAGTCCGGAGCACAAGAGCACGGGCGGCGGAGCAGGAGGAGCTGTCGGCGGAGCAACTCGCGGCACTCTCAATCGCCCCTGGGCCGGAGCAGTGCCCACTCTGCTCACCCACGAGGCGCTGGAAACCCTGTGCCGACCCAGTCCGCATCCCAACAAGGATATTAACCTGCAGGACATGAGTCCCTTGGAGCGATTCCTCGGCTGCGTCTACATGAGGCGGCAGCTGCACAGGAACATCCAGAGCGAGGAGACACTGACGGCGCTAAACAGCACGGAACCGGGAGTGGTTCTCTTTAAAGTAGACGGACTGCAGTGCCAGGTGGTTCTCAATCAAATGCACATGCAGACGCTGCACCTGAAGATCTCGCAGCTGCCGCCGATGCCGGACAAGCTGCCACCGCCCTTCCAGCTCAGCCAGGACGATCTGCTGGTGATCGAGCAGTACTTCGACACAAGGGTGGTGGCTCCGCCCTACCGACCCAATGCGCTGCACAGCATCTGCCGGCTGCTCAACCTGCCTGCCCAGGTGCTGAAGGATTTCGTGCAGATCATGCGACTGGAACTAAAGCCCGAGCTGGGTGGCGACCAGCTCAAGTGGACGGTGCAGATGTGCATGCGAATGCCCCCGTCGGCGGTGCCCATTGTGCCCAGTGGAAATGCCTGCGTGGTTCTGGGACGCATGAAGATCCTGTTCTTCCTGCAAATTGCCAGGATTCCTTATGGCGCAGGGATGGTGGGGAAAGACAGCCCCTCGCTGGTGCTGCCCATCGTGTACGACATTCAGACGAACGTCACCCAGCTGGCGGAGCGCACCGGCCAGGTTACCTCGCCCACCATGACGGCCGCCAGCACGCTGCTCCGTCGCTTTGCCGAGTTCAACGCGCAGCAGAATCAGTGCACGCTCTTTCCGGCCATCACGGATCTACTGACGAACCTCCAGCTGGCCACCGAGATGCCGCAGCCTCCACCCAATCAATCCATTGGACCGCCAGTGGGAGTAGTGGGCGTGGGAGTGGGATCCAGTCCGAATCCCATGATGCCCATGCAGCAGCTGCAGCCGCAACCCCAGGGACCCGGCGTGGGCTACCCGCAGATGGGCCCCAATCCCGGTGGCCCGCAGTGATGAAGGCGCAAGCGCCGCGCCTCCTCGCAGCAGCCGTGAGCGCTTATTAATTAAGGAGTTTAGCTGGATAAAACCCCTCTATTCTGGGGTGAGTCGATGTTGGATTCGCAAATAATAATTGTAGATTTTGTAGAGACTAACCAATCGATTCACTCTAAAATACTCCATTTAAAAATAGTATTTAAGCTCTATCAGAAGCACTTAACTGATCCCTTTAAAGAAAGCCTGGAATTTCATTTAAAGATCAGGTGCTATATACATTTTATTGTGCTGTACTCCCTGAAAAGATTATAAATTGTTAACTAAACAGTGCGGCTAGGTATGTAATAAAACGATTAACTTTAAATGTGAGTCATACTTTTGTGTTGCTTTGCTAACTTTTTGTTTCTATCACATAGTTTTGATTGCAGATTCGCCAGAGTTTCGGAGATCTGGCCAAAATGCTTTGTGACTTTATTGCACCGAGGTTAGTTTGTGTTGTTGGCTACCTAATAATCTATCTACTCCCATTTTTGGCTTGGTTGATTGGTCGCGGGGGAACTCGATCCCCACTCACTGCTGACTTGCAATCTGAGTGCTGTCCATCTGGCTGGTCAGCTCGGAAATGCCCTCCTCCTCCTCGGAGATGAGGTCCACCCAGTAGCGGAGCTTCTTGCTGCGCAGGTAGCTGGCGGAGTTGTCAAAAACCACAGTGTCTGGAGGGGATTGGAATATGTCATTAATACAAGGATACTATAAAGAAGCCTTGTTTACTCACAAGTGGTATTTGGTCGCGTAGAGATGTAGCCCACCTCGTCCATCTCATTGGAGTACACCGTTCCCAGCGCCACCTCGCTGCGCTTCTCGCCCGTCTGCTCGTCCACGCTGTAGATGCCGAACTTGATGTCGTAGTCGAAGGTGCGGAACTCCCAGGAGAGGATCTTCTCCTCCCCGCCGTTAACTTTAAAGTTCAGCTTCAGCTTGTCGCCCTTGGCCACCTGCGTCTCCACAAAGTCGCGGTCACTCTGCTGGCTGCTCTGATCGATGTACAGCTCCTCGGGCAGCTTGCCGCCCCAGATCATCAGGGCCTTGCACTGGGGATCCCCGTTCCTGTCCACCATCTCGCCGCCCCAGGCCTTCGGAAAGGCCTTTCGGTTGACGTGCGAGAAGAGCTGCTGCTGCCAGCGATCCACGCCCGACTTGTAGATCACTATCTTGCTGGTGGTGTTCTCGTCCAGGAACTTCTTCACGATGTTGAAGGCCACCGAGAAGAGCTTGGGCGCATTGATGATGTAGCACATCTTGAGCAGCTCCGGGAAGTTGGCCTCGTACTGCTTCACCGTGGAGATCACGCACTCGGCCGCCGGTCGCCAGGCGTACTGCTTCAGGTTCACGTCCTGCATGTCGAAGAACACCACCAGCTGGCGCGCCTTCCATCCATGCTTCTGGCTCTGCTCGTAGGCGATCTTCATGAAGCGCTCGAGCAGCAGGACTAGGTACTTTTGGAACTCGAATCGCGTGACGCAGTGCATCATGCCCCACATGTCGAAGTTGGCAAAGGGGCAAACGAGAACTGTGAATAAGTTGCTTAGTTTTTGTTTAGTTTGTGGAGTGAATATATAACCCACTTGGTGATCCCTCGTTGTCATAGCCCATGAGGCCATAGGGCAAATATTCCTGCAGCGCCTTGGGTGGATCCCACTTCTCGATGTTGTCAACATTCCACATGGCGCGGGTTTTTAAGCTCTAAGAGGTATCATATGTTTAGTATGTGGAATTAGTTTAATAATGTTTTTACTTACAGCTCTCAGCATTTTCTCCGCCGCTTCCAGATTCCATTTTCGAGCTGTTTTTGAAGGGAGAAAACTATATTTTATGCATCTGTCTACTATTAAATCCTAATGCTGCGAAAACTCACCTCTCAGCCAGCGAACCAAAAAGTAATCATCGTGAGTTCCCACCAGAGCATCATCCATTTGCTTGCGAAACTGAAAGTGGTATTTAATATATTATTATCAAAAACCTTATCAATATAAAAAGAATTTATACAATTTTAAATATGAATCATTACGCCAATGAATCATAATGAGGAATTTAATTAATTTAAAATCTATCGTAAATAAACTTTCACTTCAACACATCAAGTTTTAAAATCGCAAACCTGCTGATTTATTATAATTTGTCAAATTTATGACAAGTAAATAAATCGGTAGATCTATTCGGTAAACAAATTTCGGACCAGCTTTCTTTGGTATTTTCGTATCTTGTATTCAATCTATTATATTTCTCTTTAACCCTACTCAAAATATGTCGTCGATTTTGCGATAAATGTTATTGCATTGGGTTTGCCTTGCCCTCTAGCTTGTATAGATTCCGCAATCTGGTTTCAGCTAAGCGCAGCTTGGAAAACAGTGTTTCTAATCTGATTTACAATCCAATTTGTTTCGATGATTTATTTACTGAAGGCCGAAACTGGGTTTATACGGTTTATAAGAGGTTAGCGGGTAATTTTCCTATCTCCAAACGATAACGTTTATTGAGTCTGATAGACTACATGTATTGGCCTTTGTTGACTTAATTGCTGTTAATTTGTATCGACGGCCTTGTACCGCCTGCCAAATTCGGATGTTGTTCAGGAAAGTTGATATTGCTATTACACTTCTTTCTTTCTTCAGTTGCATTCGGTTTATCTGCCTTTGTTTGAGGCCTTTTATTAACTTGTTTACTAAGTAAACATCACGTACTTTGATTTGCATTCGACCAAGTGCATATTTAACACCATTTCAATCGCTTAATTGACTCGCGTCTAGGTTGTTTGCTGTTTGCCGTTGGCCAACTGCTGAGTCACTCTGGCCAAAACCACTTGGAATTCAATAACGAGGCCGTCTCAGTCTCACTAACCGCTTCTTTTATTTAGTTTTTTCAGTTTTCAGTTTCGCCGCTTTTGGCTGCAAACTTGGCCAAAGACCAGGCTTTATTATTGGCCCCCCAGCTGTAGTAGATAATACCCGACTTTGGTTGTCATTAGCGCCGAGTTCTGTGTACTTCCTCATTTCCTAGGCCATATAACTGGGCTTTTGGGTTTTTGCTTTGTTCTTCTCGTTTTCTTGGCCTGACTTTGACAGAAAAAGGTAAATACCCATTAGGCAATTTGAAATTGAGTCTATATTTGGCGTGGCCACTTGATATTTTCGACTGCAGCTCGAATAGTGTTTACCTTAGCATTTAAAGCTGCCAAAATGTTGCATTTATTTCGAAGTTTCTCTTCGCTTTTTGGGGTTTTCGGCATTTCCAAGACACCTGGGCTAAAAAACCTGTTGCTCTTGGCTGATTTATGCAAATACTGCACGATTTCTAAAGCAGATTTCTACGGGTTTAAAGGTTCGGATCTCTGGATCTCTGGGTGATTTCGTTCTGGATCAATGCTCTCTACTTAACGACTCATTCGCGTTTATCATTAGCCACCAGTTCATGCATATTTATACTGGTAATCGCAGTCATTGTGCCATGAAATGGCTGTCGGGCAATTAAAATAGGGCAAGGGTCTGGTTATAATCCACTCATATTTATAATTACTTGTGATGCTTTTCTCCATTTTGCACACTTAATATTTTATTTATTTGCAAGGGTCCGGTTTTAATCGGTCCATTAAAAACAATGACTTTTAATGCATTTTCCTTATTTGCCCAGTTAATATTTTATTTATTATTTGCCCATTACATACAATGACTTATTATGCATTTTCCTCATTTGCCCATTTTTTTTACATTTTATTCATTTGCATATTATTATTGAACTGTTCGCTTTGTGTGTCACCAATCGACTTCAGCTGAGTTTTCGATTTCGCAAGCGGTTTTCAGTGTGCCAAACCAAGAACACATGAGAGTCAACAATGCGCAACTGCAGATACAGGCATCCAGTGGTGGAGTTAGGAGGGGGTTTAATTAGATATAGATGGTTTTATAATGACTGCTTAAACTGCTTCAAATTAATAGTAATCTAGATTTCGTTTAAAACATGGGAATCAAAATAAGTAGACCCCTCTATTTATGAATTATCTTTTATTATTGATTTAAATCTCTCTTAAATATTTTTTTAAGTAATTTATTTTGAAGTAATCAATCCCTCCTTAATTATTTTTGACTTCAACACTGCTAAGAAAATAAATATACCGAAATAAGTTGCAGTTGTTTCAACTTTGGCAGCTGCTCTTGCGGCAGTTTGGAAACAGTGGTTAAAAGTCTGCTTAAATTTGCTAATATTCCAAGAGGAAGTCAAGCGAGCAATTGCTCATTTCCATAACCAGCCATCAATGCTTCGCTGATCGCACGATGACTGTTCTGTTTCAGTTTGTTTAGAATATTCCATAAATCTGGATTGCTTAATCATTGCGAAATTCTCGACTGGTATTAAACGAGCTTAAAATAATTGAATGCACTTTTTTTACGTATTAATATGTAAATAAATATGGAAGTGGGCAAGTGAAAAATATATTTTGTAATAGATTTCGATAAAAAAGATATTTATCACCAAAATATCTGATGGGTGTTATTCATATTCTTTGATATTCTAAAAAAATGTTGCTTTAAAATGCTTCCCTTGGGGAAACAATTTTAGAACTCTACTTTTTTATAAGGCTGTAATTAATTCTTTAAAATTTCACTTTGTAATAACTCTGTTAAAGGGCTGACATTTCCCGGAAAGTAATTAATTAATTCTGTAAATATCTCCCTGGAGAAAACTCTTTTATAAGAAAACGATTCCATGGGGTCCAGCATAATGGGCCAACATTAGCGCATTGTTTTGTATCTTTATCTTTATGGCGAAAATCCCCAAGTAAATACCTTCTTGTGGCCCCTTAAATTACACCAAAAGAAATCAGTGGTTCTTAGCTCTCACCTGCTCCAAAATGGCTCGTTGCTCCTCGCTGATTTCGGGCAGTGGTCCGGACATTTTGATGGGTTCTTTATTTGGTTTGTTTGTATTTTGACTATGGCGTATCTTATTTATTTGGGTTTATTGACTGAGAGCGGCGTCTAAACGTTGCCAATTTTGTAAGCTGAGCACACACAACCGCACAAATTTAAAGATATGGGGCCGAAAGCGGATTTCTTTTCTGTTCACACGCAAAATTTCGAAGCTTTTGCTATGGTTATTCGGCTTTTGGCAGCTGCAGCTCAGAAGAAAGATAACAATAAAAACTTTCTACTATTATTTAGCCGTTACGTTAGCGCTCTTAGCCGCGCACATTATAATGTATTTCCAGCGCAATTATTCTGCGTTTTATTTTTCATTCGTTTCGTTTCGTAGTCTCTCGACGGGCCGACAGGCTAATTACAATAATGCAAACTTGGAAATAACTCAAACTTGGCCCAAGGCGAGTGTCGCACGCAAATGGGGTAAATAACATAAACTTAAATCCAACGTATCCACAGCCGCCGCATTCGCATTCGCGTTTAGAATGTTTTGGTTTTTTATTCGCTGGTGATAAAGAGTACTGTATCTTTGAATCTTTATCGCGGTGTTCCGTCCGGTTCTGTGGGTGGTGAGCGACTGAGGCCGAAAACAGCCCGCACTGCGCCACTTAAAAGTGGATGAATAGCGTTCGTGAGAGAGGAAAAACAGAGAGACTGGCAGTCAAAATGAGAATATGCTCTTTAAAGCCAGAGAAAACATAAAAATGTATACAGCTAGGTGTTTCGACTTTAAGATACCCAGAAAAAATACTACTTTTATTCCATTTAAATATGTTTGGCTAATCTCTTTACTAATAAATTCATTTTATTAAAGGCAACATTAATAATATTTCCTCAAAAAAGTAACAAAAAATTTATAATTCACCTTTTTAAGCCCGGAAAACAGTTTATTATACAGCGTATTATATTTGATCCCTACTTAAAAATATGTTGACAGGTTTTTTTTAAAGAGAAGTGCTGATTAAGAATAGACTCTTAAAATCCAAAGAAATCTAAGAAAACGATTGGGTCGATTCCGACTAGACTATTTGATACCTGAGTAATTTCCTTACCTGGAATCCTAAATCTTAAGTAGAAAATAGTAATGCACCCGGCAATTATAGTTGGGCTATAAACCAATAAACCCTCATAATCTATAATCCAATCTATCGGTCGACTCTCCTTTGTTTTCCATATCTTTAGCAAAGTGGGTTTACCTTTTTTGTATTGCCCCGATTAGCAGTTCAAACTTATGACAGGCCAGGATTCTGCACTCACCTGATCCAATTTTGGCACTTACCAATCAGCTGAAGTACTCCTCAACTGATAACCATTGTTTTGTTTTTTGCATTCCAAATATAAACATATGTTTGGCAGGATAAGATAAAAGAGTTAAGTACCCTTGGCCCCCGTTATAGGTAGTTAGCTGTTTGTTTATGACTTTATTTACTGCTTTAAATAATATAAGTTATATACAGGGACAATACAAGTTTAATTTATATCGTGAACTTATTTATAGTTAAAATAATAAAATTTATTTAACTCATTAAAAAAAAACACATAAAAGTAATACGTTTTTGAATTAATAGTTTAAAAAAGTATAACCATAATATTAAAAAATTGTATTTTATATATTTTAAATTTATTCTTATTTTTACTCAACACTTTAAAATTAAATTGTTTACAAAACATTTTTTATTTTTAGTTTTCACTTTATAAATTCGATAAATTTATGGTTGGTTTCCGCGCTAATATTGTGGGTGGTGAAATTTGCTTGGTTGGCGCCATCGAGGTGAATTCAACTAAATTAAATTTGTAAAATTTGTAAGTTCAATTCCTGACTGATTTTATTATTATTTGTTTTTCAGAACTCTTATAAAAAAACTGGAACAGCAGTTTTAGGAAACTAAGAGGTAAAACAAAAAAATAAAAACTTTTTGTAAACCCAGCAAACGTTTTCACGCCGCATTACGTATACGTTCTACCAATCGAATGAATTTAAGTCACAACCACTATTATCGATTGTATTAGAAACATATGGAAAACAGGTGTGTGGATGGCACAGGTGTTTACTTCACTTGTTGCTTTAGTTAGTAAACAAAACAAGCGACCTTGCCTGAATTTAATTGATGGAGAGTACCGTAAGTACTAAAAGTAATTCAAGTTCAAGACCTACCCTCTTTAAAACCACATCTGATTATAATCTCTTAAATAAGTTTCAGTTATAGCGACTTTAAGTTACAGAAGTTCGATTGAATATATCTAATAGTATTCCCAATTCTTGTTTCCCATTTTTTAGGGAACATTAAAATGCAAATATGACTTGGAGTTACTTGGCTTTACTATTTTAATAAATGTACAATGGATCACCAGACCACCGCTCCGTCCGAGATCTTTTTGTGGAAGTCATAGAGGCTGGGGAAGACGTGATCCCGGTCGATGTCCTCGCCGTATTTCTTTACCAAATACGCGTAGCTCTTCTCATGGACCAGCGCCGAGTGCCAGCCCGCTTCCTTGGCGGCCAAGTAGTCAGTGGTGGGCCCATCTCCGATGTGCAGACATTCCTCTGGTTTGAGGTCAGCCAAGCCAGCCTTCTCGATCGCCTTGGTAAAGATCTGTGCATCGGGCTTCTCGGCCTTCACTTCGTACGAATTGACCGCGAAGTCCAGGTACTGATCGAGTTTGGTGTTCTGCAGCAGGGCCATCAGCCGTGGATCAAAGTTGGCTATCACCCCCAGTTTGCACTTCTCCGGCTTGAAGTCTTTCCGGAGTTGCTGTAGCAGCTCTACGCTTCCATTGCAAGGCTGCCAGCAAATGGAGGTTTTGTACAGCTCAATCAGATGGTTGGAAAAGTTGTGCAGCTTCTCCTCCGGAATGGCAGCTCCGCTCTCAGAAAAAGTTCCTGTGGAAAGGATTGATTAGTGACTGAATTATATATCTATTATTGAATAGTCAAATGCAGAACCTCTTGGCTGTTGTGAAATAGAGTTTATAACACTTCTAATTAACAGAAAATTAGCAGATGCGAGAGTGATGCTTGTGTGATTTGATTGAATTAAAAGAGTTAGCCATTAATCTTTAATTTGCGATTTTTGTTAAGCACAGAATTAGAATTCGAAAGAATTTATTTTGATTTATTTAAGGTTACTAGTTTTTTTACTCCTTTTAATTGATAATGTTATAATTATTTGATTTTTTTTATTACAAAATATAATTGAAGATCCAATAAAAGAAATATTTATTGATTGATTTATATTTTTTCAGAGCTTAGAGATAAATGAACTGAATTTATGACATTAGTCGTCCTTTTGCAAAAAGTTGAAACCTATTTTTACTTAAAGAAAACCTTTACACATGTAAGTAATCACCAGAAAAGCTATTATGATTTATTATTGCAATGATCAAAAAGTTAATTAATGTTTTTCCACTTTTTGTTTTAATTTTTTCCCCGAGAGGAGTTACGGATACTAATCACATTTAGCAGCGATTGTGTCGAATGCACTTTGGAACATGCCGGATTGTTTATCACCGAGCAGACAAACACTCGGGGCACTCGGGCACTCGAACGCAACTCACCTGCTATCAGCTTACGCCACCATTGCTGCCACTCCATCTGGGGATTCGTGTCGCGTCCAAAGTTGGGATAATCGCGGTTCATCTTGTACCTGAAAGGGGATGTCTAATTACTATCTAGATAATATAACAAGGTAATACCCTTACCAATTGGCCTTGAAGTTCTTGGCCAGCTCATTGTTGTCGCATCTTGCACCGAATAGAGCTCCTATTTCCCCGTATTGCTTGCCGGGAGAAGTTCGAAACTGGAGGAGGGTGTTGGTCACATCGAAGGTGATCAAACGAAAGCGGCTGAGGCTGCGCATCTCAGGGCTCAGTTCAGTGAATCTCTGCCTCTATCTCTTTATAGAATCGCTGAAATCCGCCCGAGAACTCTTGACTTTCGACTCGCGTCGAACGTTAGCGACTGAATTCTGCCGGCCGACTACGTGAGCTGCGGCAATTCTGTTATTGTTTTGTATGAAAGCCGATCCGCGACGTTATCACCAGCAGAGCGCAAGCTGCTGCCCCCCAGATTCCGATTTCCGAGCAGCGCTTCTGTGTGCGCGGATTGGATAGATATAGATTCGAATCGCGGACCATCGACACATATGTGTGCGTAGGTTTTTTGTGTGCCGAGCCGGATTAAATTATATTATCTTTATCAAGGGACCAGCGAGTGTTGCGGTTATCTCTGGTTTCATGTTGTCAAATTAGTATCGATTCGCAATCTGCACTGATTACGCCGTTTTTATTTAAGATAAGATGGGCTTCTTTTGCTATTAATTTATCATTGTTTTCAAATAGCGCGCCTTACTCACTTGCTCCACCTGGCGGATTTTAGAGGAACCTATTGTGACCGTTGGTGCATGTCTCCGCTTATAGTTTTCTCCTAAAAGCTAATAGATGGCGCCCCTGCTGAAAACAAGTTGGCGGGAAGTTTAAAAAACCATTTATATTTATTACTATTTGGTAAACTAAAGTTCACAAAGTGTTATCGCCGAATATCTATTTATATTGGCGTTTTTTAAGTTTCAAAAATTCGAGTAAAAAGTGGTAATTAAAATTAAACTAAGAGTTAAAAAATAATTGTAATTTTTAAAAAATTTCCAAATTCCAAATAAAATATATTAATTTTTAACCCATAAGCATTCAGTAAACCGATTTGGCTGCGCCCTGTCTGCATTGGCATTTGCCAATTCCATTCGAGTTGGCTATAAATAAAACGCCAATTTAGCGATGAGCACAAGCCGACTTGAGTTCGAATTTCTATGGAAGGGATGGTATCCTGAAATTCCCTGCATTCCGCTTGTCAAATTCTCAGTGTTTGTTTGTATTTTCGTTGGTCAGGGGATCGAGCATTTTGTTTGGCATAACTGCGACTACCAAAAAAGGGAATTTACCAAAAAAAACATAAAAATTCCAGCCACAGAAATCGATAATGTCATTAAATACATTTATCAAATAATTCTGCACCGATTAGGGTTGTTTAAGGAATTTATTATCCGGTTATATTTTTGAATACATTTTATTTCCTAGGAATCAGTGTAAAAAAAACTGGATATAAAAGAATTTATGATTTTCCATGGTACTTCATCCTAATTTTCCACTTAAAAAATAGGTATTTTGTCCAAAACAAAGCAACAAATGGTCCAAATATGGAATGTCATACCTTTTTGAGCTCGTAATTAAATTCCCAATCGATTGGCATTTAAATTTGAAAACTTTAATTTTTTATCGATTTTTCCAAAAAATTGTGATGTTACCCCTTATCAAAAATGCGAAAATTGACGAAAATATTTTTTTATCTAAATATACCCGCAAGTGATGCGGATTGATAGCTTGGGTTATTAGCTGTGCAAAACAGTCCTTCGTTTAGTTGCGGCACTTATTTTAACAGAATTATGACGAAAAACCCGAGCAAAAGGAATGTTTTTTTTTTTTAATAAATCTGACTTTAAACGTTGAGAAATCCAAAAATAAGACCAAAACTAATGCAAATTCTGCGATGCACTTTGAAATTTCCCGAGCCCCCTTTCCCGAGACCTTTTCGGAGGTGCAACTCCATTGATTACCACCTACAAGGCTTGTTTGCTCTGCTCTATGCCACCTTATCGCAACAAGCCAACTTGGCTCTCTGGCGGTTGGGTTGCAGAAAAGCGAACTAAAAAACAAATAACAAAAACGGCAAAATTCAGTTACTGTCCAACTTTCAACAAAAACTTTCCCAAGAAAAGTAACCAAGCGAAGGCGAGTCAACGACTCCCCTGGAATTTCGTGTTGGCCCTTTTCGAAATGTGTCTGGCTTGGAAGTCGGGGCCAAAGCTCCTCCACCTTCTCCTCCTCCGCCCCCCAGATCCCCCAATCCCCCGATCCCTCGATCCTCGTGCAATTCCGGCTGGCTGCCTGACTGCCTTTTAATATTATCTGCACTTTGGGTCTTTGGCTGCCGCCGCTTTTGCTTTAGCTGTTGTTGTTGTTGCTGTTGTTCTTGCCGCTTTGATTGGTCGTTTTAACCTGTTTGCGAATTTCTACCATGTTAATAAATAATTTTTAGAGGAGTTTTTAGAAGCAGCAGCAGCAAAAGTACCGCACCAGCAGCGCCAGCGCCATTACACTGAGATCAAATATTTATTTTAGAACCATTACCGTGCCAAAATATTATTCAAGAGTTCCGTAAGTTAAATTAGAATAAATTCATAATGAATTGTTCAATGCATAAGCACAAATGTAATAAAATTAAATACTGTGTATAGCTTTTGTCTACAAAATGTTTATCCTTAATAGATTAGTTATGATAAGAGACTTTAATATTATCTCAGTCAAATGAATTGTAATAATTAGTGAATTATGAGGTGCTCTTAGTTGATTTTTATTCATTAAATTAAATGAAATGAAATCTAAAATATTGTTATTAAAATTTAATAAGAATGTTTAAAATTTAATGATATTTTGGCTAATGCATAGGAGATAAATCTTGTGTTTCTGGCAGCCTTCTCTAAGTCTTAAGCATTTATTGTAAATAAATATGTTCGATTAAAAATATTTTAATAGGTATAATTTCATTTATTTAAGCTTTAAGCATACATTTTTTAACAGTTTAATTCTATTTTATAATATTTAATGATGTTTTTACGGCTATGATATTTTTCGCAGTGCATTGGAGCTAAACCTTGTGCTGCTGGCAGCTTCTCCTGTTTCTCCTGGCACGACAACTCCCCATCTCATCGGAGTTGGGTCGTCGTCGTCGTCGGATTAGGTTTGGCTGCTTCAGCTTCCACTGCTTCCACTTCTTTCTGCTCTTCGGGTTCGATTCTGTTTGGTTCTGTGTGACTTGGAATGCAGCCAAACGGCCATGGGATCCATTCTGCCATCCTGCGTCTGCTCGCCCACTAGAAAGGCCAGAATGGCCAGAACCACCTCCCCAACTCCTGCTCCTGCCGTCTCCTTTTCGGCACTGCACCACAAAATGACACCACACCACTCAGCTCTAGGAAGCTTTGAGTTCCACAAAAGCTGGGTTCGTTAAGTAGCCGGGAACTTAATGAATATGTAGGTTTGTCCAGAAAGGAAACTTAAATTTCTGGATACTTGAGATCACAAAATTTTAATGTTTTAATTTGAAAAGTATTTACAAGTCTGCTGCTTTATTTAAGCATACATGATTATTAAATTAAATCTAAGATCTAAGATAAGTAATATACTTAGAATACTATTATACCAAAAAAACAATCCCAAAATCTGCTTGAATTCTAGAAAATATTTCTTTTTAAATCCGTAAGACTACAAAAATTATATATTTATGGTTATAAATACCATTTTTTATTTATTTAATTTATCATTTTCTTTTATGAGTATCCTAAACTCTGTATAAAATATTTGTATAGTTTAAATAACGTTTATTGTTTATCAAACGCATTCTAAGGATAAAAAAATTGGATATAAGTTTACAAATATCTTTAATTTAATTTATTATTTCCCTCAGTATTTTTAAAGGTATTTCCTTTTGGGTTAGGTAAGCAGGGTATATCTGGGTCTGATACTATCATAATATCTGGTCTATGACCGCTTCACAGCTCCCAGTTCGTGGAGTGCGACAACACCATGGTGTTCTTGCTTGGAATTCCTTTCCTGCTTTTTGGTTTATTTTGTGTTTTGCTCAGCGCTTCGCATCGCCGTTTTCTCGTCCCCCCCATTCAGCATGCAGCATCCACCATCCAGCATCCAAGATTCCCCCGCTCAAGACCCCCATCATCCCATCATCTTTGCCTTCCGTCTTGGTCAGCATCTTCGTCGTCTTGGTCTTCGTCTTCGTCTGGCTGGGATGTGGATGTGAATGTGGATGTGGATGTGGCCGGGGCTCGTTTGTTAAATGTTTGGGTTTTGTTTGAGTTTATTGAGTGAATTCCTGGAAAAACGCAGGAATTTGTCTTTGGTCTTTCAGTTCTTTTCTGTTCGGTTCGGTTCGGCTCGGTTCTTTTCTTTTCTTTCCTTTTCGGCTCTGTTTTTCTTTGCTCCCGGGGTCTGAGGTCTGGGATCCGAGGTCCAAATGCACTTGGTGCATAAAAATCGCTTATGGAGTTTTAAACTTTTTAAGATTTAGCGTCGCTTCGGTTCGGTTTGGTTTCACAAAGATGTCTGTACGGGTTTGCCGTGATAAAGGATGGACAGGTGATTATGACTTTTTTAGCGGGACACCCAATTACGTGCGATCGGCAGGAAATCGGTGAAGATCAACGGGCCTAGCCCTTTCGCCTTTTCGCCAAAAATGCCAGCGACTCTCAGTTCTGAATTCTGATCGTGATGGGAACCGAAGTTGGGAGTGAAATATGATACTCCGGGGTGGTGCTATTGATTTCGGGACTCGGGATTATAATCGAGTCCTATTGAGATTTTTATTTGCTGGGGTGAACAGCATGTTTGTGACAAAGGTGCTTCTGTTTTTTGTTTCCAATTTTCTTAGAACAATATGTTTTTAATGCCTATTTATATTTTCTATAAATAAATCAGGCAAGCATAATATTAACATTTGTTTATTTTCAATTAGTTTCTTAATTATTTTTATTTAAATTAAATTTTTAAAAAAATATTATTATTGTTATTGTGATCAAAATTATATACGTTTGTATTTTATTTAGTTGTAAAATATTCTAATAAACTTATTTAATTAAAAAGAACAAACAATTACCCTTTGGACTGCCTAAACCCCTATTTGACCTATAAACCCACGGTTCTATAACCATTTTCCTACAATTTATTACACAGAAATATAGGTTTTAACACCCACAAAGAAAATTTCTTTCAGATTTCAGAGACTGCATGCGGAAGAACTCACACAATCCTCCCTCTGTAAATAAAGATAGAAAGTCTTTCAGTTCCGGTATGCCCGAAATAGAACATTCCTGCTGGATTTTCACCTTTGTGCG